AATAAGACATGCTAAAATATTCAAAACCCTTCGAGATTGATTTAAATTTAATCTCAAAGAAAAAAAAATATATACAAAATCAATGCCAAAATGTCCAAATTTGTCCCTAAAATTAAAATGTGAAATTTTCCCAGTGTAGCGGCTGTCATGTGATGCAGTACCTCTCAGCCACTTGAAAAGGCCCAACAGCCAATTGCCCAAATGTCACGTACTCGGGAACTTTGAGGGCTATGTGTAAATGTCAAAGATATGCCGTTGGAGGAGGGGTCCTGGAATACCGCTAATTGTTGCACATGTTGCATACTTCACGATGCACTCCCAGCCCACCAATTGCCAACTGTATGCACTCGGCTTTAAGCCCATGTCCACGGCCACGCTGCAGTTGGTGCATGCCTCTTTCAGTGGCAATGCCACCGCGCTGTACATTGTTTTGTGGCTCATCTGCGTGGCAAATTGAAAATTGCACTCATTTATTTCATTATTGAATACATCAGTGAGGAGGAGAGTTTTTCTCTGGTCCCATTCAAATAGCCGTGAAATTGCATTTGATTTTGTCTGTGACAATTTGTGGGAGAGACGGAAAAACGGTTGAATAAAGTGATTGAGAAGCATTGCAGATTTCCTATTAAATTTTAGCTTAAAGATACTGGGCTTAGAATATTTATATTTTTATTTTTAAATTTATTTTTATATATTTTTAGATTTTTACAAAATTTAAATTAAAATATATTTTCTTCTAAAAATTCTTCAATTTGTTTCTTACCTCATCTGACCTAAGAGCCTTCGTAAATTCCTAAAAATAGCTAATAAACATCAAAAACAATGTTCAGTTCCACTTAAGCTAACTTAACCCCTTAAACTGCACCCCCTTTTGACTTCATCCCCTTTTCGTGGTTTCATTTACACGGCATAAACAACACAATTGAATTGATATTGGCCCGCATTTCGAATGCCTCTGAACCCGCTTGACTTGGCATTGTTTACATATTATTTAACTTTATTTTTATGGCTGCAGGCTAAAAAAGGTGAAAATGAAAATGGAAAATGTGTGAAAATTGGGTACACGCTTGCCTGTGTGTGTGTGTGTGCTGGTTGGCGATAAGAAGGTACAATAACTTTTTCGCACTCAATGCGATTAGATAAAAGCGCTGAAAAAGTGGGAAGCCAAAAATCAAACAATTGCATTGGTTCGTAAAATTAGTTGGCTTTGTAAGTTGTTTCTAAAAGAAACGAAAAGAAGGGTTAATAAAATGGAAGATACAAAAAAAAAAGGATAAACATTTAGTTTTATTAGAAACAAGTTTTTGTAGACTTTAGCTGAAGTCAAGATTTAATAAATTAAATCTTAACAATCAAAATATTGAGCATATTCAAGAAACCTTTTAAAATGCAGACAATCATCTGCTGACTTTTCTCAACATTCCATTTGAGTATCATCATTCCAACCCCCAAAAATTCATTAATGACTAAATAAATATTATTTGTATTTTGAGAAGCTTTTATCACTACGATGAGGTATCTTTGAGTATGAGGTATGAGAGGTATGCTTATCTTAGGGATTTATTTTTGATCTTTAAAGTCTCACTTCTAAGAATGTGAGATCCTTTACTTAACTACCATTTACTTGTTTTTTTACATATACGATTAGTACTTCAATTTAGAAAATACCCCTCTGGCAGAGCTCTTCCATTTGGCCACTCTGTAATTATAAACATCTATGGGATGCTGTTGTTTCTTGCTGAGATAAACCAATTTGTGTATTTTTGTGTTGCGTGATAATTACATGAGTACATACCCATGCCGATGTACTACTACTTTTACTCAAATTGAATTTGTTCTAATGGACTGCCTAATGTGGTTACTAACTGACTGATGGCAGAAGCCATTACATAAACCACAGTGGGTGCTCGGGCGAGATTATCTCATGGAATCGAAGGCACAAATAATAATGAAATATACTCCTCACACGTCCATCTCATTAACATTCGCCAGTCGCCAGGGGTTAAGCTTCCACCCACCCACCACCTCGCATCCATTCTGCGTCTCATTATAATTTTGTTAAATGTTATGTAAAACGAGTGTCATGTCCTCCGCCCCGCCGCGGCACTTTCTCTATGGCGCCTCATTGGCGACTCTCCGGTCCTTAGAGGGTTGCCCACTGGCTTCCATTTACAGTGACGTTTTTGACTTTTAATTGTGTTTTAAAGTGTTGCGCGACCCCCTTTCGGGTCGAGGGTGGCGGAATCCCGCCTGCACTTGGGTCACTTTCAGGCCATTTGGCTTTTGATTTAGCTCGGCTCTTTGGTCATTTGATGCCTAATTAAATTTAACGATGACGTTGATTTCCATCTCCGTTAGCTCCTCGACAGCCCAACCACTCTGGGGGATTGGTAGCATGCGAGCGGTTTTATTTTACACTCCACAAACAGATTTGCTGGCTAAATGATTCTTTGCAGGAGCATATACGAATGTGAATTGATATGAAACGGAAGCCGCAAAAATAATTGGATGGGGGAATGGTCTAGGGAGATGCAGTCCATTACTAATCTTCCGGGCCGAAGTACTGACATTTAAATCAGAACTAAAACTAGAATATTCTAATATCTATAGCTTATTTTCTATTGTTTACTTAACTTTAACTGGTGTTCCGACTTCTCTAAGCCTCCTCCAAAACCATCAAGATGAACCGCAAGTCTTCCCAATACAAATAATCAAATGGTAACCATTCCCCCCTTTAAAATGTAGTCCAAATTTGTCCCTTAAAATCGATCCCAAACGGTCTAGGCTTCAGGAGCGCCATTCATCAGAAAATCAGATTTCCCGACCCGCCGCCAGACGCGAAACTCCGATGCTTCCTCAATGCCTCCGTGCTGGCATTTCAGGGGAGCGAACAAAAAGGATTCTGCCGGCGGACGGGAGCTAATAACAGGATTAACACAAAGGAGGGAAATTGAATTTTATGCCAATATACTTAACCAAGCGCTTAAAGAGTCACTCGGAAGAATCGAAGAGTGTCGCCGGCGATGGGGCGGCGGTCGGCTACGGCGAGAGCAAACACAAAGTCCCAAACGTAATTTTCACGAATTCATTGAACTGCGTGAGTGTGAAAAATAACAATTTAGATAAATATTGCGCCGGCGACCTCCATGGGCGTCGCTGCCGCCTTGTCATACGCGACGGGAGTCAGCCAGTGGCGACATAGCTGGGAGCTCGGAGCTCAGGACACAGCGACATCGAAGGCGAGCTCTAGACGGCAAGCGCATCGACCGTTGACACAGAAATCATATTAATATAAATTAACGATGTGGAAAATTTAGTTTAGTAGTGAAAATGGCGGGCCAGGGGGAGTGGGTAGAGCAGCCAGTGGAGCCCAGGCAAGTCGTGTGGCTCTCACGTCGCCGGCTCATCAGTCAAAATGTCCTGGCGTGCAAATCCCAGAGCAGCCCATGCCGATTCCCATATCCCAACCCCAATCACAGTCTCCGTGCGGGCAGTGAGAAATTGTATTGTTTTGGTTTCGCACGCTCCCCTGCGCTCCCAGCCTCCGTCTGGCTCCCCGTGTAACAATTTCGAGTGCATCAATCTCCATCTTTGACTATTTTCTCCACAGCATTTGCAATTTTCCCCAATTAATTGGCATTCTCTGATTCAATTTTAATGCACCTTTTTCCAAGGGCGAGGCTCTTGGCGCTGGCATAATTATATGTAGACATAATCCTAATCCGCTTATCCACATAGTGGAGTCACTTTAGACGTCCTTCTGCTTCAGTAGGGAGTAGGGACAACATGGTGGATTGACAAGATGGAGTGAATGACTTTCACAAAACTTGTTAATTACATATTAGCGAAGTTTTTGTAAAGTGATTAACTTTTCAACTGAGCAAGTTTAGTTGATTTTCCAACAGGAAAATATATACATATATTAACTTGTATAAAAAGTAATACAATATTTAAGTTGGTTATAATTATTTATCTTGGTGTTCAATCGAAAAAAATACAATTAAAAAGAAACAATTTTAATATCATTAACTAAATATTAAGATTTTTCATATGGGATATAGATTGATATTTATCGAAACGGACAAGATAATAAAAATATTTTTAATATAAATATATTATCTTGTTAAAAAAGTTACATAAACCATAAACAAAAATCTATAAATATCGATCTATATCCCAAAGGAAAAATCTAAATATTTAGTTACTGATATTAAGGTTGTTACTATTATAATTGTTTGTTTACAGGGTATTATAATTTTAGTCAGAAGTTTGTAAAACATTGAAGGTGTCGTTTCCGACCCCATAAATCATATATATTCTTGATCAGCATTAACAGGAGAGTCTTCCTAGACATATCAAGAAAAAAACAATTTTTGTATCATTTTTTTCAAAATTTGATTAAGGCTACATCGTTAAAATTCTGAAAAATTGGCAACATTTTTAATTTTTAATAATTTTAAAAAAGTATGCTGATTTGTTAACCTAGAAAAAACTAGCATAGAAAAGCGTTTCAAATGAAAATTAATGCTTTTTGGGTTTAGTTATGATCGTTTTTGGATTCGATGACAATGATCCTATGAAAAACTGCAAAGGGTATATGAATTTCAGCTTTCCGAAGTTCGTTTACTTTCTTCTTTAGGCATTTAAGCAGTCTTTTAAATAATTAATTTTAATTTTAATTATTTTTTAAATTATTTTCTGAGCTATAAAGCTCTCTAACAGAAAGTTTTCAAAATAGACCAAGTACAAAAATCGGTAAATATTAAAATAAAATATGAAATAATAATTTATTTCATCGTACATATATAGCAACCTTAAAATATCCATTTCTATATCCATATTTTTTGCCATGCCCAGTTTTAAGCTAGCGTCACTATTAGTTCCCAAAAAACTCTCCGAAGCTTAACTAGTTTTGTAAAAACGGAATCATCTGAAAGAAGTAGAGGAAACTTTAAGACCAATCTTCGTAATTAAACTCCCCAAAAATACAAATTAACTCATTTTTCTTTTGAAAACCCTTTTGATTTATTGCTGATACATACGTTGAATAATATTCTGTATATGTTTTATTGTTAAGAAAGAAACATTAAAGTAAATCTATTTGTCAAGAGGCTAACCAATGTCCAAAATTAAAATCAAGCAAAATAATGTACAGCAGCCGCAGCAGAGGGTAATTTGTTTATAAACAATTTATGCAACAATAAAAGGTTTTCATTGGGGTTTTTGATATATAGTGCATATTATGGTGTCTCAGTGAAGCGACACACTGGCCTTTGCTGCTCTGGATGTCAGTTTGTCCATGGCCCACACCGGCAAGGGGTTATTCGGAGTGCGGGGACTCGTCATTAGTGCCAAAAAGTGGGGGCCAAGACGGGCTGCGTACATTGTTATTTTTTTAGATTGTTGGTGAACTATTGGTGTGTTAATTTGTGTATTACAGAAAGTTGTGGGGTTGTTGTGAGACTTTGGGGGAGGCTTGGGGTTTAACGATAACTATAACTTTGCAAAAGAGACAAGAAAACTTAAAGGTGAGACATGAAAAAGCCTAGCGTTTGCGCTCCTGGTAGAACTCGCGTATCAGCTGGCGCAAGTAGCGCATCTCGTTCCGACGCTCCCGCAGAGTGCAGCGCAGCTTCTCGTTCTCCTGCGATAGAACCTGCTCCTCGCCCAGAACATTCTCCATTTCGAGCTTCTTCTTCTGGCGATAACGCGTGGCCGCATTTTTGTTCTGCTCCTTTTTCCGAATCTTGCGATCCTCGACGCCGCGCCCGTAGGTGCGAGTACGCTTCTTTGGGCCTTGCACCGCCGCCTTCTCAACCTCCACGGATGTGTGGGCTGGCGAGGAGCTGTTGCTGCTGATCGGCTCTGGGAGCCACTCCTCATCCGCATCGGCAATGCTGCCGCTCAGTCCGCTGACGCCGCTGCTGCTGTCCAGCGAGGACGAGGCCTGAGATTCGCAATCGTCGTTGAAGAGCTCAAGCTCCTGAGCACGCATGTTGACAATATCATCGACCAGCTGGATCTCTCGGGCAATTTCGCTGCCGCCCACCCAGTTGTTGAAGTTGAAGGTGGCTGCGGGAGCAGCATCCGAGGCATAGCATTGCTGTAAAATGTAAGGGTTTTCTTCAGAAAAATTGCAGTTAAGTTTTCAGGTATAACTTACCACCTTTTGCTCGGCCTTGACCAGCACGGGCTCGGGCTGTTTGTAGACATCGAATTGGGGCGGCGACTGGGGTGGCGTCAATTGTTGCAGGATCAGAGATGGGGAATCGCCTAGCTGGTACTCGGAGGCAGCCACCAGAGAAGCAGGAGAGGATGCTGGGAATTGTACTTTGGTTACGGGTATTATCGGCTGGCTGACCACATCAATGTTGGGCTGATAGCTGTTTGTGTCATAATCGATGCAGTTCAGAGGAGCCTTTTGGTCCAGGAGGCATTCTACGTGAAGAATGAAAAATTGAAATATTATTTATATATGAAATTTTTAGGTATTAGCAGAAATTGAAACTAGATTATATAAATATTATAATACATAGCTGAATATTTAATTAATTTAATAACTTGTACTTGAACCGGACTTAAGCTGAGCTTTAAACACTTTCAATTACTTGATTATCGCCCACCATTATAAGAATATATAACAAAACTCGCATATTTAATTATAGTTTCTCTAAAAGTTTGCAAAGTAAAAGAAAACGGAAGCAAAGTAACGTCTTTGTTTGCCTTCGTCATTTATCTCTCAGTTAAAGATCGAGAGAGGACATTGCTCTCTTGGTGCCACTTGCTTGACGGAAAGTCCTTTCTCATTTCTCTCCCTCTCTTGCGAGAGCAACTTCGTTTCATACGCGCTCTCAGAAAGTTTCGCATTTGCTCTCTCCGAGTACAATAATGTGGATTTACAAAAGAAAACGAAAAAGCGTAACAAAAGGGAGAGAGATCTTAAATATTGTTGATCGCTCTAATGATCAAAACGGTTAAGCCCATTTTACAAGCTCTTTTTTACAATATAAAAAAACTGGCTTACTTAACTAATCGATTTAAGTATGTATCTCATGAATATCAAAAACTCTATGGTTATCTTACTGAATAGTTTACAGCTTGATCTACCATTTTCCTTGTCAACTTCCTTTTGTTACTTCCCTCGTCTATTAAGCCACAAATGCGTCGTAGTTCCGACACAAGTTATTTGTTGTTTTCTATATTTTTCCACACTCTCAATTGAAACTTATTTCCATTGAAGTGAAGGACGCGCGGCGAACGCTCGCTCGCATCTCGTTCTAGTAAACATTTGCATATTGATTGTGGCATATTTTCCCCTCAATACACGTTTGATTTCCAGTTGTTTTCAATTCGCTTTTATTGAAAAGAACTAAGTTCGACGACATCGGTTTTGATTATTTGATAAATTTGATGATAGTCGATGGCCAAATCACGAGGAGAGAGAGAGTTTTTCCAGAGTTCGAGATTTCGTTGTTACAACCTTCGAGAAGCATTTGTGGCAACACCTGTTTGGCTTGTAAAATTGACCCAGCGACACCTTGGGCTGGGGCCGCCAGTCCAGACAATCACCTCTCCCCCAGCTTGATTCTCCATTAACATAACAAGTTTCCCGTCGATCAATCTGTCCCTCCCTACCCCCACTCCCATCCATATAGCAATCTCCTTGCAAACAGCTGCGCTTGCATACGTAAAAGCAGAGCAAACTGTAACTGCATTAATTGATTTACATAAAAATCTCGCATTAGAGACTGTTGTGTTGCCACGCCTAGCCCTGGTTTATTACAATATTAAATTGTAGTATGCATTTTTGTTTAACAGTCGTGGAAATAAAGTGATACTTTCCACGTTGTTGCTAATGGCTGAAATGGAAATTAATGTGAGTAGAGTGGGTAGAGGATTATGAACCTAAAGACTGACTATCTGTAGAAAAAAGTCCTTAAAAAAGGTATTCGCTTGCCTAATAAATACCTCAGATAAATTATTAACTAATCAGATAAATACAAATAGTTTTTAAAAATTCTTGAAAAATATTGTAGTTGTCTTTTGGTTCCTGTACTTGTATAGTTTTTAATCCTATGATTTTTCTTTGTTTTTATTCAAATTAAAGTTCCTTAAGTCTTACCCCGACTCCTAGTTCATAAAGTAAAGCCAAATAGAGCGATTAAATCGAGCGCGGACGTGGTTGTCATTTTGCAAATATCGCACAGAGACGACCGGGACTATAGTACAACGTCAGTCCGCGCACAATCGTTTGAAAAAAAAATATATATAAGTATTAATAATTAATGGGAACATGATTAGCAACAACCTTGGCGCACAAAATGCCTCTGTAGACGAATAAATGTGCAATGAGACTTGCGGCTTGGTTTGCCTAGGAAAACACAATACCAGATCTCTGGGGATCTACAAGGAATCGAATGTAAAATTCCCATATTTAATAGTTTCTTACTTTGAATGACTCGTGTGGAAAATCCTTCTGGCATATGTTTTTGCACATAGTTATTAGGTCAAGGTTATACAGGTCTCAATAAAAATCGGATTAGAGGTTATCTATGCTAGAACAAAATCTAGAAATGTCTAGTCTAGCTTCGGTGTTTTACTAGTAAACAGTTTGCCCTCTCAGTGTTTGTGGAAGATGGCAAATTATTTGTTTTTCTCTCAAGTCGCGCCCCAAAAAATGCAAAACAAATGCGGGCAACCCGGAGCACACACAAAGTCCAGTCATAATATGCAAATGAATTTTATAAATATTGAACTGAAAGCGATCAAAACGAGACAATGAAAGAAGTAAGAAGCAGCAAGTTGGCGTTAAAACCCGCTCGACCGGAAAGTCATCATCAAGGAGCAGCCAGCCTGCACCACCCCAGCCCAGAGTTTGCCCAAAAAAAGCGCTCTGGAAAGTCTCATCTGTCCACACTGTGCAGTCAAGTCGGGGAAAGAGAGATGTGAAACTGTTTCGTCTCGTATCTCCGCACTGGCTGCTGTTCCCTCGCACAGATAAGTGGCCAGACATGATAAGATGCAGTGGGTCAGACTGAACGAAGTCGACTTAAAGATGCCCGGGAATGCCATAGCAATTAAAATTTAGAATTATTAGAAAAGGATTTTTGCAGACTTGATTCTGTGACTACAAATATACGATAAGTTTCCCCAGGATTACTGAAATATGTATAAAAGGATATAAATCATAGAGTTACTATACTAACCATAGGCTTGCATAAATATATATGTACTCATGTTTGCGGCAGCAGCGAGAATCGTGATGTGGAATGTATGGTAAGGTCAATTGTCTCTTAAGTTTCGGTAGAGTAAAAGTACAGGCAGTAGAAAAAAAGTAATAAACAAAGGCCCAATATATGGGATATTTTTAGTCTAAACTAATCAAGTTAATGGGCAAAAGAACCTTAACTACTATAATATTGATCAAAAATCAATGTACCTAGAATTAGACAAGAACCTAAGATTGCTAAGTGTTAACGAGATGCGCTTCGTAAATAATGATATGATATATTTTTTAGAAATATTCGCAATAGAAGGGGTAAAAAATCACAGAGTCAATTTTGAATGTACAGTCGACTGGCTGTTGGTCCAGCACTTAGGCCGAGTAAATAGCGTAACAAAAAATCAATATACAAATAATGGAAAATAACTCAATAACTCAACACGTGGCAGAAAGTATCTTAAGAGTTTCCAAGGCAGAAAAATTCTAGTCTGGAGTAAGTGTCTGTGTCTGTGTCTGTCCCTTGATTCCTGTATCCGTTCCTGTCCTTGGGACTCAACTGCTGCCGCAATGTGGGTGGACAGCTCCGGTGGACAGTCTTGCTTGTTTAGCGTCGTTTCACCAACTTTTGCGAATTGATCACAATTTCACGGTTCCACATGTAACGGTATCCACAGTGTGGTATCATGCTCACAAAGTCCTTAACGCCTGGACTCGAATGTTCAGGGTATCGCGTGTATCTCGTGGCTGGGCTGTCCAGTCTGCTCTCCCTTCTGGCTGGCTACATATAGTGGTGCCCAGCTGTCAATCTCCTCAAGCGAACTCGCTTCGTTTTCTTTGGCGCCGTTGCAAAAGGTGGGGGGAGGGCGGGCCTTAGCTCCGATTCCGTGTGCAGTTCAGGCAATCTGCTGCAGAACCATTAAAAAATGTGCTCCTTAGGGCGCAAATTTGAAATATTTTTCCTTTTGTCTTTTTTGCGTTTCGAAAACGCCAAGACGTGTGTTTGTGCTGCTCCGCGTATTTGTTATTGTATCCGTTCGCTTTGGGCAGTTTTCTTTGTGTTGTCCAAGACGGCGACGACGAGGTGATGGGCGGGGCGGGGCGGTGCGATCGCAGTCAAAGCCGAGTTTCGATCCGAACGTTCGCGACTGAGTAACGATTTCAACTGAGTGCGGATCGCGAAGCGAGTAAGGTTTTTGCTTGGCCAACTGGCGGTCGGCCCCCAGCGGGAGCGCTCCACAGAGAGATCGGTCGAGGTAAGAGCGCACAACCAGAGATCGGGCCCTGCAGCCAGATCGATCTCTTGTTGTTTGTTCCCAGCCCGAGATGCTATCAGCAGCCACAAGCTAGCCCCCGAGCGCAACAGCACGAGCCGAGGCAACGGACTCGGGCACAGTGGAGTAAAAGTGGGTGAAACGCTGGGAAAACTTTAGATGCATTCGAACTTTCAAGAAGTTTGAATAATACCGTTTGATATTTGAAGTTTTAAAATGAATACTTTCTTATAATCATAACTCCTATTAAAAAAGGTTTAGGCCGTTCCTCTTAAAAATAAGCTTTGCAGCAATAAATTACAATTAATATTATAATGAAATAAAATCAAATGTTATTTACTAATACAAATTCAAACATTTTAAATATAATACTGGAATAAAGGAATATAATAAATTGGTAATTGGTGCAACTTATAAATAAGATGGAATATCAAAATGTTTTTATTTTGTAGTATTAGTAAATAAATTAGTAAATAATTAGTAAAAGAGAAGCTTTTCGTTTATGGTCGTTAGTTTTTGAGCTTATTTAGCCAAGTTCAAAAAGAGTTCAAAGCCTTTCACAGGTTTCAATAGTACATTAACATTACCAAACCACTGTTCTTGGTGAGAGGAGCCTCTATTAAGCGTTTGTTTTTTAAACAGCTTTATCAACTGTGCCTTAATATTGTACACAGTCAATTACCCCTCACTCCCGCTTCGGCGATCGACCCCACAAATCTCCACATACACTACTGGCCGAAATAATAAGTACATGCGAATGTGGTTTGTTTCGAGTCCCATAAAATTTGTTAGATAAACTTAAGGAAAAAACCCACTTTATTTTTAGTTTCCGTACTTATTCCAGATAATAAAAATAACTGCCTAAAGGATTTTACATTTCAAATTTAGAGACAGGGGTCAATTTTATCCAAAAAGCATGAAAATGGGTTGGCCAAAATAATAAGTACACCCATTCTTCTAAGCCTAAAACTCGAAACGTATTAGATATTTTTCACTTCTTTCTTCTTATAAGTAAACTTAGATTAGTATCCAATGAAACCACACTCGTTTTAGGTAACTTTCGCTATTATTTTTGGCATTCTAGCAGGAAGTCTGTGGCAAGTCAATACTAGAAACTGAGACCATGTTTCTTCAGCAAATCTACACAAATCTTCAAAATTTTTAAATGTATTGCAAATTTTATGGGACTTGAAACAAACCACATACGCATGTACTTATTATTTCGGCCAGTAGTGTATATATATATTCTCACCCCCCTGCTGCCAAGCAATTTAATACTTCTCATGTCTCAGGTGGTGTGCGATGTGCATTGAACTCGGGTTAACCTGCAGAGCATGGAAATCAGATTGAAGTCCGACTGCTGCGCTTAGCAACTGTGGTATAATGTGATTTCCGTGATATGAAACCATGTTTACTGATACATGTTTGTAAGTATGTATAGAAACCCCAAAAGAACCCTTGCTCTCTTCTCCGGATGAAAGATATTTTTAGCATTTCACAGCTGCTGGCCAAGCCCCAAAGAGCAGATATTACCGAAAATGGGGGGCACGTCTCCAGGGGATAAATTTACATTTTGAAACAAAGAAGTTTCCTCAGTCCTGTTTAAAAATACCCAAACCATAAAGTTTCCATACAAAAACTGCGTCAAATGGTTCATTGATCGCACAAGTTGATAAATCCATGAACTTATCTGCAGGTTAAGTTTCTGGTTTACATTTTCAGCAAACCAGAACCGAAAAGCGATTAACCTTCAGGCCAACATTACGAGCATGGCAATTCGAATGGTTTGATGTTGTTTGGGCGGTCAAAAGGAGAAGGAGAGAACTCAGCTATGCCAAGAATTGAAACAATTCCTCTACGAAATAGCACACTCAAGCAGCTGTTATCTGCGATATTCTCTTAGAGCCTCAGCTGAGCTCAGCTTAAGAGTAGAAAGAGATCTCCGAAGAGCGCGTTGAAGAGCGAGCCAATGATCACTCACTTGGCGCGTGATCAATCAAAGCGAAAGGCTCAGAAACTGCTTACAATTTCATTGCTCTCTTTCTCGCTCCATCGGCCTTTATGAATTCCGAGCAATTGGCCAGTACAGGTGGCTGTGGGCCGCGTTTATAAACAATTATTATAACGAACGCAGTGAAAATAAGTAAAAAACCTGCACAACTTTACGCTGACCAAGATACCAGCGATACGCCAACGAAAACAAAGCGAGCCACAATCCGGTTTCCCAACTTTAACTGTCTGGGGGGGGGGACATTTTACGTATAGTCTCGGAAATATTCGGCTTGTTTTTGTTTGGCCAAAACGATTTCATTGGCGTGCCCCTTAACGAATCAGACAGAAAAGTGCGTTAAAGTGAATAGAAAAAACAAAGCAAACAAATTAGATAACATGCGAATTGTAATATTGTCTAGAGAAACAGAAACCTGATGAGCGGGCTTCGCTTGGCATTTTGCAGACGTTCAAAGTTCAACTGCATTTTTAATTTTTATTTTTATTGTTTCTGATGTTTTTTTTTTTTTTGTATACTATTTCGTTTGGTTTATAATAAGACGCGTCTACGTTTTATTTCGGGATCTTTTGAATAACTCATCTCTTTATAGACCTTAGCATATATAATTATTTGAATTTAGAAAGTAATTGGAATACATAAAGGGGAACTAGAAGAAGTATTCTTTCAAAATAAAAACAAATCAGTTTATAAAGAAAATTATTAATAAACTATGATTCAGTTTTAAAGCTAACCATATTTGTGTTTAAATATAAAGGACTATAATGATAGCTCACTTAAAAGTCAAACTATTTAAAAATAGTTCATTCACATTGCCTTAAAGCTTACCCTAAATTTTGTTAAATTTTATAAAATTTTTTCTCCCTTGAAAAGAACTCTACTTCTTGTATGCTGAGTTTGTGAGCTTACCTTCATCCTTCAGGTCAAAGATCTCCACAACGAACTCCTCATCGCTGAGCAGCTCAAATGAAGCTGCCTCGTCCAGGGTCAGATCTTCGCCGTTGCCAATTATTGAAATGCCTGGAAATTAACAGTAAACTTAAGTTCTTTATCCTTTAATAGCAATTATTAAGCACAGACCATTTGCAAAGTTATCGTCATACAACCACTCGGCATCTGTTGGCTCAGTGAGCGCAAACAGATCGGAGGAAGCCGCCGCCGATGTTGGGGACTGCGGCTCCAGCTTGAGGTCCCAGTAAAGCTCCTTGGGCAGCTGCAAGCTCTCCATAGTTTGGTGAAATGATGTTGTGTCCATAGTCAGAATAGTCAAAATCGAAAGTTACAGATGATATACTTTGGGTTGAGAGAGAAAAGTCCGGACTGAATAATGCAATGGGTTGTTGTTGTTGTTGAAGTGCTTGTTGTTGTGAGGATGCCATGATGGCGCTGAAAGAGATAGCAAAAAAGACGAATCATGATCAGAGTTCAACAGGTTAAACCTTGTTACACTATTTGATGAGCATTACTTGCATGGCCCGCACTGTTTGATGTGCACTGAGCCCCCTTCGAAGACGCGAATCAAACAAAATCGCGTGCATCGTCATGCTGATAAGCCGTCGCCAACCCTTCAGACCCCAAATTCTGAGCAAATTCAACGGAATAATGTGAAAATCAAATTTAAACTTAAACTTCAGACGCTCATATCTAATCGCTGGCTACGAGTGTGCCTGCGGGCCTGCCCTAATACGTCGGTATGTGTGTCATCTAAAATAGTTTATTTTTTAGTTCTATAATATTTATCTGATATCATATTAAAATTTTATATTTTTAAACAACGCAAACTATATAATTAAGGGGCCGAAATAAGACGACGGATTTAATTCAAAGACAAAAACAAAAAAAAAAAAAACAATTAATAGACTCTAGTAATTGTGTGCCTTGTAAGGAGAGCCCACTGTAGTGTGACTCATCATCCAGCGTTCGCACGTGCTGCAAGTTGCAAGGCGGATTGCCCAACTCCAGGCACATATTGCGTCAGCCAATTTCTCTACCTGGTTGCATGCCCCATTGCCTTGGATTTGGAATGGGATTTGCAACTGTATATGCCACGTTAACACTGCGTTGCGGCCCAAACGAGAATCCGTACAAGCCCGCACACACACACATGCTTGCAGCGCCAGAAACGGTGCAACGCCAAAGTGCGGCAGTGTGTGTGTTTGCGAGTCATTGCGAAATTAGCGTTTCCGAATGTTCGATTTTTGCGTACTTACGTTTGCTTTTTATACGTTTCCATTTTGTTGTGTGTTGGGGCACCTTGGTGCGTTTTGATTTGCTTGCGCACAATCTATAGAGCCATCTTTACGTCAAAATAAATGCCGAAATCGCTGGAGGAAGTAAATATTGAACCTTTTTGCGTTTCATTTGGAACAGTAATGAGTGTGACCGCGCCGGACAGATCGAAATATACCTTTATCCATCAAAAATATACTAAAATATACTATTTCATATTTCAAAATATACCACTAAAATACCATAAAAAATGTCAGTTTAAACGCCTGAATATTTGAACTTTGTATACAAATATACTTAAAAAAGTTGAGTATCGTTTATTTATTTACTATTTTAAGGGGTTATATACAGTTGTGATGATAAAAAATCGACTTTTTTTTATTGCATATTCTTCAAGTATATACTGTTGAGAATACTCTCACAAAAATTCATAACGATCGGAGCTTTAGAACCGAAGTTGTAGCTATTTATAGCGCACGACCTGCACGTCGGCCGGAACAAACTTGAAACTTTAAACGCGATTACCTCAGAATCGTTTTTTTTCGAAGTTACCTTTGCGGTGGACACGATTACTAAAAAACTATTAATCCGATCAACACCAAATTTTGACCACTTATTTATTATAACAATAGCTAGTCCTCTAACGAAGAATTTTTAATTTTATTTGAAAACTTTATTTTTTAGAGCATAAAAATCGAAAATCTTATACCTTGAAAAAGTAAATTTTTTGTTAAAACTGTCGCCATTTTTTTTTAAATCAAAATTTTTACAAATCCATGGTCTAGAGGACTAGGCAATACAATATACTAACGAAATTTTTTGTAATTTTTGATTTCGGATGAACCGTTCTCGGGATATGATGTCCACCGCAAGTCACCATCGAAAAAAAGACGATCTTGGAATTCGGCCATAACATTTTTAATATTTAATATTTTTTTATGAAAAAATTTTATAAAGTACCCAGAAACATGTACTAGACAACGTCGGCAAAACATTTTTAATAAATATTTTTTATAATGTCAAAAAAAAATCGACAAAATTGCATTTTTTTGAGCGGTACAACTGTATATAACCCCTTAACTAATTACGTTCTAAGTTTTCAACCCAGTTTAGAAACCAGCTAAAAAAGCTAAAAAACCAGCTGAAAAAGCCAAATTCCAACGGGAAATAGCTAAGAAAAAAGCTGATTTTGATTGCTAGTGCTGGAAAAACGTCGATATTCCGTTATATATCGTGGTTTTGAACAGGCGATACATCGATTTCACTTCACCTGAGGGGCTTCTTCTTTCTCTGTGGAGGTCGAAGATTGTTTCAACAGATACGAATTTACTCCATTTACAAATAAAAGCCTCATTGTTTAATGGCCAAGCCAAAAAACATCGATAGTCCAAAACCAAAATCGATGTTCCTGAAAAAATATTAAACATCGATAGTATCGATAGTGCTCCAATGTTTTGCCAGCACCAATTTTTAATATTTTTAGTTTTGACCTAATAGGATAATTATTCAACTAAAGTAATCACTTAGTTTAAGTAATATTTAGATATTTATTATTTAATATCGCTCTCATTTCAGTGCTCACCACTCACAACTGCGCCAATTGTCGGCCATTTTTAGGCACTCTTCGGTGTTTATCTGCGCCTGCCGATACCTTGACAACCCTGGTGGGAGGGCTCGCTCCTCGCATTAACTTAATATGTGTTAAAGTGTAATTAAACTACGTAGCAGCTTAGTGGGTGCGCGTGTGTGCGTCGTCGATGCGTCTCAGTGCCGAGTGCGTTGTGGGTGTGCGGGAGCAAACTCCTCGGTTTCCATTTTCTCGGGGGCAGCTGCAGTTGCGCCCCAAACGCTGCGTGCGCGTGTGTGTGTGGGCACAGAAAATAGGCAATAGAAATACGGAGGCGGAGTCCCAGAGGTCAAAAGTGCAAACGCAGACCTGGCTCCCGGAAAGCGGAAACTGAAGTTTGGAGCAGCCAAGGTCGAAGCAGGGAATTGTTAGCTCAAGTTCCTGGTTTGTTTTGCTTTTCCCCAGAAAGCCAACCAGAGGCACCTTTGTTTGGACCCCTGCATGGGTGTGTGCGTGTGCCTCTGCCAGCGCGCTCGCTCTTCCTCGCATTCCTTCATTCCCGTGCTGATAAGCAAAGGGGGAGCGTAAAAGAGAGAGAGAGCTCGCGTCAGCTGTTCATTGTTTTGGTTGTGTGCGGCGCGCACAGGTTTCGCCCGCTTTCCAGCTCGGTTCTTGGATCAGTTCCGTTTGTGGAATGGAATGGAACCGCTCGTTCTTTTCGCACTCCTCCGCCGTTCTCTTCCGCCTTCCACCGCTTGCCACAAGCCGATCCGCGCGTGCTCTCGAGCGTTTTGTCGATCGCCCAGCAATTGAGTTTCCATTATCAGCAATTTCCCGCGCGGCAAGAAGAAGCGCGGCTACTGACGTCTCGCTCTCTGACGTCCACGTCCCCGTCCCTCTCCGGCGCTCCTACGCGCGCGATTAATATTGTTATTATTGTGTGCTTCGTTGTGACGCAGTTAACGGTAAAAGCGGGGCGTGTTGTTGGCCGGAAAAGCCGCCAAGTGGACGCACGGGCGACCAGGTGTAGGGATCGCGAACAGCTAGGAAAACGCAAGGTGTCGAGATCAAATCAACGATTGATTCGTTAAAGAACCGAGCCAATTAGCAATTTAATTAGTGGCCAGCAGCTCGCTTCAGTGTATTATTAATAAATGTGCTAATGTCCAGTAAATCACGATAAATATTTTCGTACCAATCTCAGCTCTATCAGCTACCATTTGACCCGCGAGCCGCTTTCGGAGCGATGGAAAATCCCCAGCCAGTCGGAAAAAGGGCCAGTGCCAGCAGTTAATTGCCAGAGAGACATTAAAAAACCATTAAATGTGCCCCGTCACGACCAATAAAAGCCAAGAGTGAAGTATTTGCATAGACATCCCCTCGAATTCCCCCCCAAAAATGATGCTGAACAAATACGAGAGCTATCAACGCACAAGCCAGATGTTTCCCCACCAGCAGCAGCAGTCACTTCCGCAGCAGCAACAGCTGATCCCGCAGCAACCCATCTTCCCGCACCTGCAATATGGAGCCGGAGGATCTGGAGCGGCAGCAGCCGCCGCTGCCGAGTCGGAGCGGGAATCCATACACTCCGGCCAGTTTATGGTGTCGCACTTCGAGGCCGAAGAGGCGCAGGACGACCTCGAGGATGACGGTGAGGTGAAGATGCTCGATCCCGAGGATCCCAGTCTGGACAAGGCGGGCGAGCCGGCAAACACCTGCCGCGACGTCCAGCTGTACGTGCCACAGACGGTGGCCCACTTCAACCGTATGGACCAGGAGTGCGATGAGAGCAGCATGGGCCTAATCACCTCCCATCTGGAGATCGAGACCTCGTTGACCAAGCTGTTCAAGTGCATGAACCTTGCCTACAGGTGAGTCTGCTGCTACACGTGCCCGCTGAAGAAAACGACAGAAATGTAGTTTCCCGCTCGTTCACGCATTCCGCGCGTGATAGCCGCCAAAAAAACTGGCCAACGAAAATCCAGCAACCAAAAAGCTGGGACCGCTTCGGTCGCATAATCGCGGCACATGTTGCGACGCGACGTCGCTGCTCGGGTTACTTTGGACCCAAAACTTCGCCTTAATCGCTCGTCCACCTTCCTCCCGGCCCTCCTCTTTTCGGGGCGGTGCTTCTCCCGTTTCTGCAAACGCCAGCGCAATCATCGCGAAAATAATACCAGAGTAATGGACACACAGCGATATCAGAATGATTCCGGGCCACATTTACCTGAGCATATTTATTTACCTGGCATAGCCAATTGAGTGCATTGAGGGCGCCGAATAAAATGCCAAATATTTGTTTTTAATTCTTTGTATTTAATTGAGTTTTTATTCTCTTTTTGTTTAGTTTTCTAGCATAAATTAATTTTGAAAAGATTTTGTACAGTAAAATGAAATTAAAAAGTATAATTTTAAAATTGGACAGTGTTATTAAAGAATATAAAACTTACCATTCTTTATAATATATCAAAATAGGTTAACAATTTTTATTAAATAACTTTAAAATTTTTAATTTAAATATTTTTTAAAGAATTAACTGGATTAAATTTAATATTATGAAATGGTTTCAAAAATTCTAATTAATTTAGGATCAGATAATGCCAGACAATGATCAAACTAGTATTACTAAAAAGAAAATTATTGAAAATATTTAGAAATTTTTAAAGGAATTTGAAAACCTTATTTCCAACTTCAAGATTCTGGGAGAATAAATTGGGAGTTTTATCGACTAGGTAAAGAGCACCTATGCATTCCCTTCTATGCTTCTCAAAAACTTTTTTGATCACTATTTAAATCCCCATAAATAGTTTAAAGATAGAAAACTTCTAGATCTCTCACTAGCAAATATTTATAACGACACTAAATAAAATATTTAAAGTAAAGATGTTTTTATTATATAATATTGTACTCCATTTTTAAAATTCATAAAAGACAAAAATAAAATTCAGTTTGCAAACCCAGTAAGTACGTCACTAGATTTCTACGTGCTGAAGTTATTGTTCTATTGTTGTTTTTGGTATTTCGAGTCTACCATATTTGGTTCATTGAGCGGTTTAGTCATCGCCAAACATCGTACGAGACGCTTTCGTCTGTTCGATCTATTTTTAAAGCATGTAGCCGGTACTTTCTGGTCCGCCTTCCGATTTCAGCTTCTTTAGCTGCTAATTCGTCTGCCTGGCCAGCGGTGTAGCGATTTTTATGGGACCCTTTGGCCTTATCAGTCAGCCGCTTATCAGCGTCAGCATTTGTACAGGACTTTTATTCAGGTCTGTTTTGTTTTATTTCGCTAATTGTTGTTATTGTTGTTGATTTTGCTAAACAAACTGCGCGGTGGGGTAATATTCAGCTATTAGATAATGCGCAAATAGCGCGGCAAAAGCAGTCGTGGGTTGAAAGAACAGTTATTAAACCTGAACGGGCCCCCACAACACGTCAGATAAGTTAAGTGCAAACTAAAAGGTGTTGCTGAAAGCGTCTAGATTACAGAGCCATTGAAGGGATGTATAGTAAGCGATTTAGTTGGGGTAAAAGTGAAATCAAGCTACAGATTCTATTAACAAAATCATCTTGGCGCCTCCTTCCCCAAATTCAGGGAATTCTCTTACCAACAACCTGTTTAAGTCAGCGAAAAAAATTTCTTGCTTGCAATATTATGAAAAACAAGTTCATTTAGTATTAGAAAGCTTTGTTTAAACCGATTTTGGAATGCTCTTTCCAGAACACGTAAGATTTTTTATTTGTTTAATTCTAAAACAAATTTTAATTATTAAACTTTATATTTTATATATTCGAAATAGTTGTTAGCTTCTTCGTGTAAAAAGCATCTAATAAACTTAATAAATTCCCTATTTAATACCTGATTAGTTCCCTAACAATGTGTCTGGTCTACAACTTTGATAACTTGTTTTTCGAGCCAGACAAAATCCAAAATTTACAATTCCATTAACCCGAATACAAATGCAAGGCATTTAAAATGTAGACATTTTTTTGAGATTTATGCCTTTAGTGGGCCAGACTGAGGGTGACCATTCGGTGATGTGAAATGTGGTGACGCAGCCTCGGAATTATCATCTCTCCCATAGAATTCGGCACATTTGCGGGGAGAGAGAAAACTGGATTTGTGCCAATGCCTTGTGTTGTATTATATCATGGTCAATACAGGAAGTTAATCATAGCCCAGCGGCAACGTCACTAGATAGAGTGGTATCGGAATGGAGAAGGGAGGGACCACCACCTCCACATGGGAATGCGGGTTAACTGCTCGAGAGTGCCCCTCGAGTGCTGCTCGGTTGTGCAATTCCAGTGCTCCCTCCCGTGGTGGCAACTGACAGCTATTTACCTGGTGTTTGCTTAATAATTTCTACTGAATCATCAGCTATGATAATAGCACAAACAATAACAATGGTAAATCAACAAAGAAAACAACAACCACATATCAGGTATCTGGCTGGTTGTTTATTAGCGGCATTCTCATCGCGATATGTAGCCCCTAATTGTTTTTGGCCAAGTGCAATCCCATTGGTAATCCTCTGGGCTGGGAATACTTGATTGGGAAAGCAGGATTATGACAGTTGTTATATATTGGCGTGCACACAGATGTGCACAAACAGGCTGATTTCCCAGAGATAGCGCCTCTGTTGGGGTTAGGGGTCTTTTTATTTTTAGACCACAATCTGCGCACTGTTTACATATTTATAAATAAATCGATTAATTTATTGTAAACTGATACGTTTGACAGATTGACCGATATCATAGTAGATATAGTCGGGGAGAAGATTTGTTTCCTTGTTTGCCTTTATATTTCTATTATTTATAATCTACCTTTCTTCATTTTAGCCAAAAACTCACCTCCCCCAAATGGAATCATTTCAAAGGTGTGCGACTGCGTTGGAAGGACAAAATCCGTCTCAACAACGTCATCTGGCGCTGCTGGCATATGCAATGTGAGTGATATTTTTAGCTAGTGAAGCAATTCTCTTGAGTGGGAAATGAATTTCTGCGGGTTTCGAAATTAAGTAATAAATAAGCGCTTGCATTTTAATAGCTGAGTATGTGCAATGCAATTTTATTGTTTTTGCAATCGAAATTTATTTGAGCACAGATTTGACTTAATTTATTTGTTTTTATAGTTTTTGAGGTAAAATGTTGAGGTCTTGATTATTATATATTTTAGTAAACATAGAGATAAAAGTTGTTTACTTATATTATTAAATCCCAATTTTTTTTGTCTTAAAATTAGGGACAATTATCTGTGGATATATTTGTGAAGGTTATTTAAAATCTGTTTTTTTTTCTTAGTCGAATTGTAAATAGTTAGAGCTCTTAAAAGAAAATATATTTCTTCAATGTTTTAAATTAAAACATTTTGTAAAATCAATTTTAAATCACAATTAGTACCCAAAAGTATATAATATAAAGGATAAAAGTTAAATATCTTTAGGATAAGGCACTCTGACATTGGGGATTACCTGATATATTTCTTCCAAATTGGCTTGCCACACTAGTATTTCTTGTTTATATTTATATTCCCTTATATTGCTTAAAAATAATCATTGATATTGTCATTTGTTATTGATTTTATCTTTAGAAAATGTTGAGTCTCGAATTGAACTTCAACAAAAGAGGAAGTATTCTGTTCAGAAATCTTGTTTAGTCTATTTCCCAATCTATGCAAATAAAGGTGGCAGTATTATTAAAAAGTTTTTAAAAAACGTAATTGAATTACATTAAAATTTGACAAGATGTCACCACCAATATCTAATCAACAAGTGCCAATAATTTGTTTTCCATTGTAAACAATCTGATAGGATGACCCCTTCTCCCACAACTTAGTTAAGCCACTTGAGGCGGGACTTGGCAGAAGTTTTCCACGTGTTGTTATTTTTGTTGGCATTGGTTCAGCGATTGACCGCGATCGGCATTGGTAAAATATTCCAAACCAAATTATAGTCCACTTTAATGTTTATTTCCTTGAGAAGCACGGCACGTGCAAAAGCCCCAGCTAGCAAACACAATGTAGAGCGGATAGGTGAGCGAATCGCAGAGCGGGAGCGATAGGAATAAGCTTTAAAAGCACAGCGACGGAGAAGGCAATGTTGACAAGCTATCTGCCCTCTCCTGCTCACGCCAAAGCCGAGCAGTGACCGCTGGTGCTGTTGCTGCTGCTGGAGCGGTAAGCCCTGAGAGAGTTGTCAACTGGTTTGTGGCAGATGCTCACACATCGAGGAGATGGATCTCCCCTGCTAAACAGAGGGATGTCCGGATGACCGGCGTTGCCAGGCGGGCATCGCTAGCTCCTACGCTTTGCTGCCCTCTTTTCTCCTCGACTCGTCTTTGTTATCAGGGCCGAGCGTCCCTTATCAGAGTCTAGGCTCTCTTCGGCGATTGTCATTTCATTTGAATTTCATTGGATTTGTTTTTGGGCCTCTACAACTACCGTCTAATTAAGAGTCGGGAACATATGATTCCCTAGTTGTTGCCAATGCGTACGTTATAGTAGCTCGTCTAGACGGACCCGGAGTTTTCCCGTGGTCTGGATCGCGGAGCAGATGTCGCGGCCAGTCTGAAGTGTTCCATTGATTAGCACCTAGCCACTGTCGAAGTCAAGACAAAGGAGACGTAATTCAGAAAGAACCTCGGGGCAGAAACGCGCACATTTTGGATGTCTGCTGTCCGTTCGCTACCTCTGCTGCTGCTGCTGCTGATATTATTTTCAAAAATTTTCCGTTACATCATCAGAACGGCAGCGGCAGCGCTGCTTTACAAGCCATCGCGTCGAGCGATTATCTCTGTGCTCTAATAGATGTCGGCGACAACGGAGGGAAATGGAAAATTTCATGTTTATTTATAAGGAACAACCACAAACATTTTATTTTATTCTCTGCAATTATTCTCTGCAATTGTCTAGCTACCAAAGGGTAGTTTATTTGACTATTTCAAATCGGGTATACTTGAAATTTAAACTTTAGTTCTCCCACATTTTATGCAGATTAAATTTATTTCGGGATTAAGGCTTGCTTTAAAATAATATTAATTTGTATACCTCATACTTTGTATAGTACATTTGTTATTGCTGCTTGAAAACAAGGAAGGAAAGCCAAAGTTAACCTTAAGAAAATGTCTAAAAGGGGAAAACAAAAGCATTCCTAAGAAATGTGTATATTTTCCTTATACAGAAGGAATGTATACATTTTGTAAATTTCAAATCAGTTTTCCATATGCCCTTTCAAATTTCAATTGCTTGTCTATTTTTCATAAATTCTTTTTAAATTAAAAAAAAAAAATGTGGATCTAAATGACTTATCATCACGCCCACGCAGAATCTTGGGCTTTTCTGGGTTTTGTTTGCCAAAATGAATCTGCTATCTTTATAAAGTTTAGTTAATATCTCAGAAACCGCACGTTTGGACACGTCAAACTAAACGCAGACAACACAAATGGTTTTGGAAATTCCCAGGCTGGCTACCTTTTTATCAATTCATAACTGTCTGTGGAAAAATTTGGCCGTTTATTATGGGTGTCTCTCTAAAAATAAATCTACATAATTTTTTTCATTGTTAGCCAGAAAATTATTAAACGAAAAAATTCCCTGTAGTTCTCTAAAAAAGCATTAAAATGATTTTTAGAATACATAAAAATTAATCTTTTGGGAAAAATATAGGATTATAGCATTAAATCAAAAATTGTTCATAACTAAGTCAAAAAAACTTTAAATTCAATTGGGAAATCTTTTCTATGTTAGTTTTTAATAGGCTTATAAATCTGCTTACAGAATTTAAAAACTAAAGAAATAAACATTTCTGCATATTTTTGACAATTTTAATGATGTAACCTCTATCAAATTTTGAAAAAATTATAAAAAATAGTTTTATTTAGTTAATGCTTATCAAGAATATATATGGAAATTGTTGCTTCGTTAAATAAAATCATAATAACCTTCCAGAAAACCGAAAAAAGTTAAATTCTTTAAGTAGATTTTATCCATATTTTTATAAATATTTTTTTTTCACAAATCAAAGCTTAAAAATAGCATAAAAAAGTTTAAAAAGCATTAAATTCAATTCGGATAGCGGTTCTATGTTTATATTTCCTAGACTAACAAATCTGCATACTAAATTTAATTGTTTAAGAAATCTAAATTTTTTGACATTTAAAAAAAATTGTAACCCCTTATCAAATTTAAAAAAAAAATTCGGGGAAAATAGATTTTTTCCTGACATGTCGAAAAAACGTTCCTGTTAATTCTAATCAATGATAAATATGGTGTATGAGGATGGAAATGCCTTTGCAATCTTCTAACTAGAATTATAATAACCTGCAAGGGCATATAAATATATAGAAATTTTATTGATTTTATTGTTTAATAAATAAAAAAGAAAGCAACCAAATTATTCCCCCAAATATCGTTACCTTTTACAAAGCAGAAACACCCATAGTAAGAACGTAAGGCCAGGTACTTTTGTAAACAGATTAGAGTGCCTTCCAGGTTCAGTCTCAGCGCGATGTTTTATATTTATTTATATGGCTATTTGTGAACAGGATTTAATTGATGTTTGCATTGTTAAGTTGGCTGCTACGTCAGAATTCTGCCAGTAACCCGTTGGGGAGAGCCAGTGGCTCTGCCACACGTGTTCCTGGCAGCTTTTGTCATCTCTGGGGGAACTCTCTTTCTCTATCTATGAACCTCTCCATAGAATCTTATCACTTTAGTTGCTTTTTTTTGTGGAGTGTTCTCCCTACTAAACTGTGTTTGTGTGTTTTCCATTTTTGCAGTCATACAAAAGCGCAGAACCCCGGTGTGTCAATTCGCATCGCCGCTGGACGTTGACATACATAGTAATCCTCAAGTAAGTATCAACTGCCAAGTGAACGTAGTGCTAAATAAGTGGGAAATGTGTTCAGTAAGTCAGGTAATCGATTAGACATTAACGAAATAAAGAAAAAACACATTACGCAAATACAAGTTGTTAGGTGAATGTGCTTAAAAAACTAAAAAAAATCTCCTACAAATAAATTGAAACGTTTAGAAGAAGGTGAGTCATAAGCTTTTTGCGTTAAGCAATTATAGCCGTTTAATAGTTCGTAAGAAATTTATCTATAAGCTTGGCTTTAATAAGGTTAATTTTTTCTAGAATTCATATTTTGTATGAATTTATTCTCTAAACTAAATCACTATTAAGCAACTAGCACAAGCAAAAGTGATACATTTGAATAGACATCTAGAAACCTAACCAATTTTCAAGACTCAAAAGATTGTACATTAAGCATTACCTGAATTTTTTATTCAAGTACAGAGAACTAGTCTTAGTCATAAGTTTAAAATTCTTAAACTTTCGAAATCGCATCGTACCATCCGCGCTCGTGGCCGATCATAAACCCAAAGTGCCTGCGAAATTTGGCACACGCCTCGAGCGGTTGACGGGAATCTCCTCATTTAGTTATCACCAAACACTCAACTAGCCACGACCCACCGCCACCGCGTTCCTGGTGGGTGGTTGCACCCAGCTGTAGAGGAAGACATCACTCGATCGCTACGTGATCGTCGCGCGATTGTCGTGCGCCATTGACTGTCAGAGGGAGATATGGAATGGACCCCATGGGTTAGTCGTGGTGTGGTCCCACCATCCCCAATCACCAGTACCCAGTACCCATCCCCGGACCCTCGCCGGCAGCACGTGATAAGAGCGGCGAGGCTTTTGGCGGTTATATTTTTAGCCTATCATTAACCTATCGGCGGGGCACTTTTATTTATAGACTGAGATTCAATTTAAGTACCATAATGTATAATCGTTATACACTTATCGTTTGGCCACTTTCGCTGAAATCTATATAACCTTTTTTTTGTTATTTCTGCTACCTTTTGAGTTGTTTTCCCCAGATGCCTATGTGCGACCTTGTGCGTCGCTTTCTTTTATAGATTGCACTTGGTTCAAAAGAAGCGATTGAATAATATAAAAACATAAACTATTATGCCTTGAAATCTTTGATGACTAAGTGTAGCGACTCTTATTACAGTTCTGAATAATTCTGGGTTAACTCAAAGTAATCCCACTTGGAAATTTCATTTCATCAATTTATAGTGAAGTGCCATGAATTTGAAAGCTAAGTAAACAACTCATGTTGGAGAAGGGCAATTTTATAAAACTTTAGTGGGAAATCCAAAACAAAAATCCATGAAAGCTTTTGGTTATACTTAAAAATTTATTGATATAACGTCAGGATGACGAATTAGTAAATAAAATTATGAATGTAAAAGTTTGATTGGAACTATATATTTATAAAATTCTTAATTCTCGTAGACTTGCAAGCTAGTATCTAGAAAGTGGATATATATACTTACTAAAGTGATTTAAATATATATAGAATTTAACTCTGGTAATGAAGTAATTGCATTTTTTGTATTATTCAACATTTAATAGTTAGGATAAGGTTTTCCTTTCTTTCTTTGTACAAGTGTTCGGGCCTCTCACCTCTAAAAAGTTATCTTCTAATGAGCTTATCACCGTACATTCCACTGCCCGAGATTTAGCACTGGAGGCAGAGCCTCGCGAGGGTCGAACACACCCATTTTATAGCTTGCAATTGGATGTGATTTAAACAACAACATAATGTTAAACAACCCCAAAGTCTCCCCTTTTCTCCGACCGCCTTATCGTGGAGCTCAACTTGACTCTGTACCCAGTAAAAGATGTATCTTATCAAGTTTACAGGCTGTTTTCACTCAGCCAAGTTAGCAGAAATGAACGGAATGAGGGGTGGTATTATAGTTAAAATTTATATTAAGAGGTCTTCCTGGCTATATCGAGTTTGACTTGAAATCAGTTTGGGCGAAGCGCAAATCAGAATAGGTGGTGAAATGTGCAAGGTAGAGATCGCTTCCCGGGTACGGAAAACGGGAACGTTACCTCTCCCCATTTGGTTATCTCGGCGGGAATGTAGATTACGCTTAATCATAATTAAGTTAGTACATATAGTATATATTTGCTTTTGATTAGGAAATTAACAAGGTTTCGGCGGGTACACGGTACACACAAGCTCCGCTTCCATCTCCTCACTTATCTCTCGCTGCCCTGTCTCTCTCTCTTTCCATGTACCCCACACAGACCGTAGTACTCGAGGGCAAGTACTGGAAACGTCATTCAGCCGTGATCAAGGCTGAGTACAGAAAATGGCGCAAAAACTATAGATCGAAGGCGACGGGCTGCTTAACCTACGACTCGGTGAGTTCATAATCAAAATTTGCTAATAGCCTTGGTGGTGTTTTCCATTTCCTTGAACTGCACCAGTATCACCATGTACGTGAAGATGGCGGTAAAAAGCTGGAGGGGGGATATATTTTAAATTATTGAGTTTTATATAAATATTATATGTACCTTAAACAAGGTGCTTTTATCCAAAGCGAAAAATCCGTAGGCCGTCAAAATGGGCTGCTGTCGAAGGTTTTTCAGTAGGAATTTCTCAATCTAGGAGGGGAAATTGTAAATAGAGAGTATAAATCAGCATTACAAAATTAAAATTTAACTGATTTAATGTAAAGTTGTGATTCTTCTTACCATTCGATCCAAACCAGTGCCCGTTCTCGGTACTTTGGCCAATATCTTTGCGGTTTTATTAGCCTGCAAAATAGAATATTTCGAAAGGGATATAAAAGAATTGCGATTTCCAACTAAAACACCAAAAGTTGTGCCTTCAACTTCAACCACTTCCCAAAAACCCACTCACTTCCACCGTTATGCCATTCGTGCGCAGCATAAGCACCAGCATGATCATCCAGGGCGTGTCCCAAGTAGAGGATATCAGGACCATGGCCAGATACTCGCCCGAGTCGAACTTGCCCTCCATGACAGTGCTGATCAGGTAGAATGGCCCTGATGGCGCCATCAGTAGCACCAAGGCCACAATGGGAAGCATTAGCTGGCCAAAGCAGTCGCTCAGCTCGCCTTCGCACAAGGCCAGGATCTGCTGTCTGCCCCAGAGACCGGGTGCCAGGTCGCCCTGACCAAGAAGCCGATTGTAATGGACCAGACCGGCGGCCATGATCTGCTTGAGGCAGACAAAGAACACCAGCAGCAGACAGATCACCAGAAAGGTGTAGATGTAAACAACCAGGCAGAAGGCCAGCGGAAGGGCGGCCAGACCGGCACGACTGTAACCGTTAAAGTAGTTGCCAAAGCAAACGACGGAGAGCACCCCATAGAGGATCAAATTGTGCAGGAACTGGCGGTCTCTGCTGCTGGCCACACACCGTCGATTGAGGCGCAGCAGGAGCTGCACCAGCTCCCTGTGCCTGTGCCGGCGCACATAGAGAATCACGTATAGAAAGAAGAGCACCAGGCACGTGCTCCGGAATATGACAGTCTCGTAGAAGTTGCCTGTCCGGTTGTAGATGCCGATGTGAAACCGCTCCGGGTTCAAGTGGGCGAAGGTGAAGCAGCCCGTAGTTGCGACCAGGATCACGACCAGGTATGTCCGGGCATAGCGCTCGCACGAGGGCGTGGCCACCAGCTGGCAATGCCCCGAGTCGAAGTGCCAGCACATCATGCCCAGAAGGTTCAGCAGACGGAGGTACAGGCGCAGGTCACGGCACACCGTGGACATGCTTCTACGGTTGAGGGACCGCTGCGAACTAACCAATCAACCGGATGGGTATCCAATTTCATTGTTGATTCATCGGATAGCGAAATGTCAATATTTGCCCGGTAATTGATTGGATTTCGCTGTTGATGTACGACTTTATTAAATTAAGCCTTCCTTGTCGCGCTACTTTCACAAAAAAAGGATATGCCCCAAGGGATTTAAGGATTCCTATATGTAATATATTTCTACTCCTGTTAATTAATATTTTTGAACTTTTTCTCGATGCTATTTTATGTTAAACCTATTTTACCGAGTCTCGAAAAATTTTCAAAAAATAATATAAGGACCGTTACCACTTATTTTACTATTAAATCTGATTACTCACCTCCTTTTGGACATTGGTGGTGCCCATTGCCAGCACCAGCAATATCACCCAAGGCAGGCTCCAAAAGGTGGCCGTTATAGACATGAAAACAAAACGCCATGTTGTCCGGAAGCGGCCTTCAAAAATGGTGGATATCAGATAGAAGGGTCCCGAGGGCGTTATAAGAAGTACGAAGCCAGTTATGGGCAGCAACAGCATGCCGAAGCTGTGGTTAATCTCCACTTGGCACACCCACAGCAACTGGTTATATTCGCAAAAGTTTTCATGGAATTTCCGGCTCTCCCTCCAGCCTGACTTTAGGTTATCCATGAGCAATCTGTTGTAGTGCCTCAAACTCGAGTGGAGGATGCGCTGGAAGCAGGCAAAGAGGACAACCAACTGGCCCAGGCTGAGGTAGGAGAAACCGTACTGAAGGAGATAAACAGGAATGGTGTACCAGACCACGCCAGACACCCAGTAGCCGTGGGCGTAGTTTAGCATGCAGATCGCAAGCAAAGCCAGATGAAGGATGTAGGGAGAGCCAAAGTTGGAGACTCCATTGCCCCTCCGACACATCTGGTTCAAGCGCATCATCGACTGCAGCAGCTTGGCGAAGCGACAACGTCGAACGTAGAGCTGGATGTACACCAGCAGAGTGGCCAGGGCACAGGAACGGATATTGACCAGCGCATAGCAGTTTCCCGTCTTGTTGTGCTTGCCCATGGTGAAGTGATGTGGATAGCAGCAGCTGTAGATGATCACGCTGCAGGTAAACCCTATGACACCCGCCATGAACCAGCGGGCTCGGCGCTCTTCGGAAACTTCTATTCGCACCAAACCCCAAAGTCGATGCCAAACCGCAGGACTCCTAGCCACTGGAGGGTTCGAAGATGTACCCGCAACTCCCCGAAAGCGTTGTGCGTCATTCAGATTCCGTCAATCAACTAATAACCTAATGTCGGAGGACAGGCTTTAAGTGGTTTGCTTTGTAAACATTATATCTACCCGATTACACCTCTCAAGGGACCTTGAAAACTAAGCCAACGCGTCATTATTTGCCCCCATTAGGTGATGACAGGGAGCAGTGGGAGGGGGCAAAGGCTCACCTCTTTTCCCACCTCATCGGTCCGCAGCGTCATCAGGATGGCCACAAAATAGGGCAGGTTCCAGAGGAGCGTGACGAACAGGGCATGCCAAAGGTACTCCATGCCCACGTTGCGGGCGTCCAGCTCAAAGACGATGGTTATCAGGAAGAACGGAGCAGCTGGTGCTGAAAAGAGCAGGTACGCCATAATGACCACCAGCACAAGTCCGAAGTCAGAGTTCAACCTCTGGCGGCAAACCCAGAGCAGTCGACTCCGTTGTCTTAGACGCAGGATGCACGGTGTTCCTGACAAGTTCCTGCTCAAGCTCATCGCTTCTGTCAGATCATCATTGTATATTCGCAATAAGCTGGCCAAGATCCGGACCAGGCAGTAGTGCAAGGCGACCACTAGGCCGAGCAGCATGTAGCTATAGGTAGCAAAGGTGGTCAGCAGGGCTGTTCTCCACCACTCGAGCTCGGCGTGCCGAAAGGCCTTGCTGCACACAACTCCGGTAAGTAGGACTTGGCTGGCGAACAAGGCATAGATCCGGACAAACTCTGTGGCATGTCTGTGCCCCAGATCCAAGCGGCTGTGGCAGAGAAGCAGGGCGATTAGCGACATAAATCGTCTGCGCCGCACATAAAAGTACAGATGAATGAGAGACACCGTCAGGCAGGCCAGGCCGTAATTGCCCACGAAGTAAGTGTTGCCCACTTGACCGTACATGGGCAATTTGTACTCTCCGGACAGGAGAACCACATGACCCAGGGCTGCCAGTGCCAGGCACTGCGAGCAGAGCAGTCCTACGAACGCAAAAGTGTCATCCTTCCTGGATGCGTGCGTTTTGTAACCGCTGCTGGACTCGTGCGTGAAGCATAGCAAACCGAAGCACTTGAGGGTAAACAAGTAAACGCGCAGCTCGCCACCGAGGGACATGGCGCCATACCGCGAACTGAAAGCTGAAACCAAAAATGCTGGCTCCTTACGCCCCAGTGAATAATCGATTTAGATTTTAGTTTAGATTCAGATACGGGAAACGAAAACAATGCCTTTCGAGGGGAATGGAAGTCCTAAAGATGACACTACTAGGAAAACTTGAACATATTTCAATGATGTAAAAGACATTCAAGAAAAGTTAAATCCCAAAAGAAGCTGGCCTAGATTTCTATCAAGAATAATAGGAGAAGTACGTGAAAGACTTATAGAGGATATTCCAAATTCCGTACCCTCGCCAAAAGCTCTTTATACATACCTGAACGGCCACGCGATTGCTCATGAAACCGGCGGCACAGGTCAGCAAGGTGGGCGAGAGCCACACAATGTTTGTCAGCAGCTTCAAGCCGATCGGCTTGTTGGTTTGAATCACCATGGTCAGGTAAATCACGCCGGTGACGTCCAGCGAGGCGAACATCCAGGACAACCAGGCAATGAATCCATACACGAGACTGATCTCCACGTTGCATAAAATCACAAGGCGATCGTGCAACTCCAGGCATCCGCGCATGCGTAGAAGATTGTCGCTGGCTCGCTTAGGATCCCCGGACTGCTCGACAATGGCCGTGATCTGGGACTGGTTCCAGCTGAGGATGCGGCGCACAATATGAACCATACAAAAGTAGGTGCCCATGGTAAAGCTAGTGACCAGATAGCGCAGCGGAAACCCAAGCGAGGTGAACACAAAGAGACGCGACGCCTCCGACAGCCACTCAAACACGCATGTCTTGATGAAGTTGGCCATGTAAACCAGATTGGTGGCAATGATCAGCCAGAGCAGGCGCCTGGGCAGCACCAGCTTGAGGTGGCCCAAATGCTTCCGGCGACACAGTTCTATTTGCCGAACGATGCGCAGGTGAGGTGCCTGCAACCAGATGAGCCAGGCGTTCTGCACTACAAGAATGCCCAGGGCCAGGACCATTACGAGTCGATCGAAATGGTTGCCAGTCTTGGTTAGCTCCCTCTTGAAGCACTTGCGCCAATAGATTACCATGACCGCCATGCAGCCCACCAAATAGGCCTGAATGGCAAAGTGCACCACATAGCAGATGGCACTGCGCCGCAAGAGGTATTTTTTCTTCGAGGGATTGTAGTCGATGCAGAATATGCCCAAGTATCGGCAGAGGCGGTAATAGGCGCAGAGTTCCCCCTTCTGGAATTCGTCCATGGCGAATGCAGACTAGAGCAGGAATGGAATCACTACTTCTGGCAGCCGAACGGGTCTTTTATACCCTTGACCTTCTGGCCTTTAAGGGCCTGAAGGAAACGTTATAAAAATAAATACTCTCACTCCGGGGGTACATGCGTTTTAACATATGGATCTTATATCTTTTAGGGATTGAACTTTTAACTTGAAATTTAAATTATATAATTTTCTAATCCGCCTTACTTTGAGTCGAAAGTTCCCAATAAAAATGGTTCAATGCCTTATCCTTTATATGTGCTACAGAGTATCTACTAGTTTGGAGAGTTCTCTGCCCAAAATACTGTTGTTTTTATAACAAGTTCGGTCAAGTGTTACTTCCCGCCACTCACCTGATTAAGTACGTCATTGGCGGCTAGGGGAAGGATGAGATAGAAGAGCATCGGCCAAAGCCAGGCGAGGATGAACAACAGCTCCTTGAACGTCCGAAAAATCGACAAGCTACTGAGGTAGAATATCAGGACACACTGCATGACCTGGTACATGAAGAGAAAGACCAGTACTCCACCGTAGACCTCGACCACGTCCCTCTGGCCCAGCAGCAGGATCTCATCGTGCACTTTCAGGCTGAGGGCTACATCCTCACTTGAAATGGTGGCGGCAGTCAACACCATCCTTTTCAGTTGATCCGCCTGGACACGCAGTGACGTCCGCAAAATCCACACCACACCGCTATAGCAGGTGATTTGGAAGTTAGCCAAGATACAGCGTAGGGCGAAACCCAGCAGAGTCAGCACGTGGCTGAGCTCCATGTTCGTAAGCCAAGTCTTGGTCGCAAAATGAGCCATCATAATCACATACAAGAAGCACACAACCAGCCAGATGCGGTAGAACCAGCGTGGGTGTGGCAGTGCCTCCGGTTCCACCTGCAAACGGCTCACCACGTGAGAAAGTCTATGCAGAAGGGCCACCTGCGATTGCTGCTGGGCACGGAACCAAAGATTGGCCAGCAGCTGGGAAATCGATGTGGCTATTATAACTGCATTGTCAAATATCATCCCGGTCTTGGTCTGGGTGTCCAAGTAGAAGAGGGACTCGGCCAGAGCCGCCACTAAAGCGGACACGAAGATGACCACGACTATGGCTTGGGTGGCGTACGAAATCCAGGTCCCATGGAGCCCGTGCAGCCCATTGGAGAAGTCCAAGTCAGTGAGACCCAAGTAGCGTTGATAGTGCAGGAAAGCCAGAAGCCTCTTCTGATTCATTCTAACTATACGTGCTTGTGGCTATATTTCACTCGAGTAACTGACTCATCGAACAGGGGGAATTCAATTAAACTAATTGTTGGGTAGTGCTCTGTAGCTCTATCTATCTATCTATTGTTTTTGGTTAATGAGGAAGTCCTTCTAATCATCAGAACTTATATATATCCAGAATAACGCAATATTTTTCTAAAGGGTTAAATGATATTCGGATAACTAGTTCAATTTACTTATAAATAATTAAACTTTCACTTTATTCACCTCCTCTCCTGGGCCATTATACACTAGTGGAATTAAAGCATATAAGCAACAACAGATCAACGAAATCCAGTGAAATATAACGGGATAGTAGTCGTTAAATTTATAGCGAGCGAAATAGCAAATCAGTGTCGCTTCCAAAATGTCCTGAATCATGTACATACAGAGTAGCAATCCGAAAACCCTACTCAAGTCTACTTCGCAGATATGTATCATCTCATTTTGGATCGATAAATATTGATATAATGTTTCTCTTTGACTCTTTGGGTCAGAAGTTCTCTGTAAAGCCTTTTCCATTTGTTGGCGAATAGCGGCCATAATGTGCACTATGCGATGGGCTAAGGCCATATAAAATGTTTTCATAAAGCAGGACGAACCCTTGTAAAGCACATAAGCTATATCATTGACCAGAAAGCTGAAGTTGTGTATGGGCATATAAAGGGCTTCTACATAAAAAAAGCGTATCACAATAAGGCCAGTCCACACTAGCCAGGACAACAACATCCAAGATGGCACCTCTACGAGCCCAAAATCGTTGGACAGGTTTAGAACACGCATGAGGCTGCTCGTCAGGCTTTGTTGCATTGCAAATACCAGAACGTATTGGAATATCAAGAAAGTGGACTCAAAAAACCGAACAAGCCTCAAGATGTAGACATCCGTAAAACTATCGAAGACTCTCCATTCCGTCTTCAAGTCTAGAAAAGCCGTGCAAAGACAACAGAAAAATATTAACGGCAGCAAGAACTTGACAAAAGAACAAATCCCGTTAGAGCTCAAGTCGAACTGCTTTTGATTTTCATTCCAACGAATTTTCACAAACGTCGTGCATCGTAGGATCACTATAAGACCGGGTAACGTTGTCCGCATTGCAAAGCCTTCCACTTGAAACTATTTTAATGTCTGTCGAAAGGAAAGACTGCAAGGAAACGAAGTTTCGCCTTGAAGGAGAATCCATTAGGGATTGAGCGACAGCTTGGCTGATTGTGTCACAACGACATTATACATTATAAAATTAAAACTTTGTAATGGCTAAACCCAGAGGTAAACATTGTGAATTCCTACAAGAAATTATTTTAAAGTATTGTACTTAATTACAAGTCCCTCCTGACTAAGGGGTTTCGGAAATAATAATCACAGTCGCACTTCTACTTACCTGTATAAGAGGATTATTGTACCCCAATGGTATCGAAGCGTAAAGTAACGATAAGATAAGCGAAATGTAGGAAAATGGTATCATGTTATGGAATTCTTTACCGGTGGTCCAAAGAAAGTAAGACATTAGAGTGGATTCCAAAATATCCTGTATCATGTACAAGCAGAGTGGCAATCCATACAACTTGCTCAAGTCCTGTTCGCAGAGCCTCAGTATCTCATTTTGGATCTTTAAATTATGACTGACAAGTAGTCTTGTATCTAATGCATCAGGTGTTTCTAGGGCATTTTCAATTTGTTGGCGATTAGCGTCCATTATTTTAATTATTCGATGTCCAAAAACCATATACAGAGTTTTTATAAAGCACGTTGATACCTTATAGAAAATGTAAACTGCATCTTTGATTAGCACGTGTAATCTGATTTGTGGAAGCATATTTAACCTCCAATAAACGATGCGAAAAAGAATAAATCCACAGGAAAATATCCAGCCAAAAATCATCCAAAATGGAACGTCAGAAAGTTCAAAATTGTTTGAGATTTTCTGCACTCGAATCAAACTGTTGAGCAAAGTTTGCTGCATTGAAAATATCCAGTAAAGCTGCCAAATCAGGATTGTGGACTCCACCACCCGAAGCATCCTCACATAGAAAAAATCCGTAAAGCTATGAAAGGCTCCCAACTTCATTATCCAGCCGGCAAAAGCGGCGTAGAAATTATATAAAAATATCAATTCCATTAAAAACTGAAGAAGCCAAAAGATCCTGCTGCATCTTAAGACGAACTCCTTGAGATGGTCGTCCCAGCGGATGTTCGTGAGGGCCAAGTACCGAAGAATGACCACTAGGCTAGGAAGCGTAATCCGCATGGTAAAGAATGCAACCCGCAACTGTTTTTTTAATTTTTTAGTAAATTGCTTTTTCGCTTTAGAAAACGAAAAAGATAATCCAATAGTGATGAGCGACAGCTTGGCTGATGCATCGGTAGTCCGTCATTAAGCAATTAAGTGCTTACAATTACTACACTTACAGAAATTCTAATGTTAGAATTCTCAAGAAATATATGTAAATCTTCCATAATCCAAATTCCAACAACCAATCAATAAATGCCTTGTAAAGTCTTATAAAATATATAAATCCCACCTTAAACTAAACAACTCAAGAGACCTTACTCACAAGTTTAAGACTAAGTTAAGCCTTTCTTAAATATTCTTTAACTTATTTATAACAAAATTAAGCAGATATTACCTACCTCTTTCTGGTAGCTATTGACTCCCATGTGTATCCAAGTGTAGAAGCAAATTATCACAAGTGAAATGAAGAACAAGGTTAGCTCCAATGACCCGAATTTCTCATTCCAAATGTAGAATGATAATAATGGTACTTCCAAAGTATCGTGGATCATGTAAAGGTACAAAAGGAATCCGAAAATTGAACTCAAACAGTGTTCGCCAAGAGAAAGTACCTCGTCGTAAATTCGTACATGCTGGCTGACCATTTTTCTAATGGCACTCGTGTCGCGGGTTTGCAAAGCACTCTCCAGATTACAGCCACTTTTGGATAAGATTTGCTCTAGGCAGTGTCCCAGATACATGTACAGGGTTTTCACGAAATATGAGGACATTTTGTAAAAGATAAATGAAGCCTGACCTAAGACATTAAAAAAGGTCGAGTGCAATTTTAGCCTCCACACAATAAAGCGTAAGACGAAAATCAGGCAGGTTGCGGTCCAGCAACAGATCATCCATTGAGGTACAAACGGAATCCCAGAGGTCTGCTCGGAGAGAGCCTGTATTTGGATGAAATGGTTGGCCTGGGAGTGCTGCGTGGCAAACATCCAGACAAATTGCAGGGCGACCAAAACAAACTCCGTCATCTTAACAATGTAAAAGCAGTACTTATTAAGACTTGTATCAAAATCCTGAAACTCGATATTCCAATTTACGACGAGTCGAAATATGTTCCATAGACACACGCCCAGCAGGAAGACCTGCACCAGATAGAAACGCCAGCTTTGATTCAAGCTAAACAGCTTCAATCGTTTGTCCCATCGGATGTTCGTGAGAACTAATACCCGGAGGACTAAGACCAGGTCGAAAAGGGTTAACTGCATTGCGCCGTAATTTACTCTAGACTAAGAAGGACACGCTCCAAAGTAGTGCATTCCTAATCTTTATCAATTGGACTCATAGCAAGTCACTTACAAATTAATTATCGATTTTCTGTTGTTCAATACTTACGACATTGTTCAGTCTGTGGTTCCTAGAGGTCGGCAAGGCAGCATATATCACCAGGGGCACTATTATAATCACAGAAATTCCGATCATGAAGGCATCGTCGAACAATAGAGCGATAATGTAGCCAATGGATGCCGTCTCCAGGACAATGTACAGAAAGTGTAGGCACAATGGAACACTGAAGATGACGTTCATCTGCAGCTCGCATAACCGAAAGATATAATCGATGAGCTGCAGGCTTTGACCGAGTTCCCTTAGATCCCGATTACGCACAGATTTCTTCACTTTGAGGAGTTGTGCATCTAAAATTGCCTCTATTTGATGAACAGTCACCAGGAAAATGTTTACCAGGCAACTGAAGTAGATTTGTCTCAAACTAAAGGTGATTAGCGGTATCATTCGAAGGACATCGAATACACTTTGCGTTACCATATAAGTAATAGTAAAAAAGTTCAATATGAAATTTGAGCTTAGAAACACAAAGTTTATCCAATTGGGCGTTGTGTCTCGTAGTTGCTCAGTTTCCAGCAGCTCTAGGAGTTGGTTCAATAGCTGCAGCAAGCGATCCTGGTGCAGACGGAGCCAGGCGATCAGTAGGACAATGGACACGGGCTCCATGACTTCGGTTACGTGGGCATAGTGGTTCGCCATGCCAGTGTGGGTGAACTCGAATTTAAAGTTCCAGAAAATAATGTAGGATCCAGTGGCTAGAAGCAAGGCAACCTGGAGTGTCCAGAACAGAATGTGGGTGCTCCAGGTGGCTGGGCGCAGTCGGAGGCCGCCGCCGTTGCCCTCACTGACCTCGATGGCCGTGAGCCCCAAACGACGCTGGCACACTAGGACGTCGTGCAACGCGGACCGCATGACAGGGCTGACTGACTAAAAGCCACCAATAAATTCATATGTTCAGCGAAGCGCCGCTGGACTATCTCACCCACAAAATCAAGAGTGATAAAGTGCTACATTTATTCTCTTCTTTTTGTTGCAGAAAAGCGAGTTGGACTTTTTGGAATGGTCGCCGCTGAACGATAGGAACTTGATGCCAGACGACTGGACAACAGACACCTTGTTCTCGGCCATAAATGTTCCATTTCCTTTTCCCGATTCCAGGGAAATTGGTAGGTGTAATCCAGGCTGAGTTCAGTTGCCTTAACTGATGGTTTCTTTCCATGATTAGCACGCGGCGCGGGCATTGCTGACTTCATACAGCCCAGTTTGGGGCCCTTGCAACCGAATTTAGATGACATTGATCTTACCTTCTCAGGTGAGTAGTACCACAATGGGCTCTCCAAGGACTTTGATAACTTAATTCCCCTCGATCCTGCATAGACCTAATCCCCACCACACGCTTGCCACCCGTTCCGGAGGAGGGAACCGATGCCGAGATGCTCAAGAACGACGACTACTGCTTGCCGGCCATTGTGGGTGCTCCGCACACGCTCTACTGCAACGACAGCATCATGGATATGGTCAACAGCAGCAGCGGTGGCGGTGGTGGCGGTAGCGTCGACGCCAACATGATGGAGCTCAACACGCCGATCAATAACATGGCCTACAGTGAAATGGAGCAGCGCTTCTCAGTAGCGAGACAGCAGCAGCAGCAGCAATCTGCCAACGATTCCCAGCTCATCGGAGAACCCAGCTCAATGTCCGGGCGGATGCACGGAGGCAAGCACTTTGGGGCCATCGCCGCCAGCGACAACAACATCAGCAACAGGTGTGTGATCAATGGCCGTGTGGCCAAGAGCACCCAGCGTCCATTCCGGCGGGAGCCGCACAACTACGACAAGGCCCAGCCGACGCTGCACCAGACTAACCTCTACCAGCAAATGCTGGCCGAGCAACAGAAGAACCAACAGCAGCAGCAGCAGCAACATCTTGGCGGGGGCGTACTTCTGCAGACGGCTGCCTTTCAGGCTCCTCAGCAGCAGCAGCAACAGCAGCAACTCGCGCAACAGCAGCAGCAACAACACTTTCCCACACAGCAGACCAACGCCTTCAACAACCAGCAGAGCTTCCTGGGCAGCTACACGGACAACTACCAGCAGCAGCAGCATCAGCAGCAGCTGAGCGTGAAAGTGGAGCCCCTGCAGGCCGATGTGCTGTCTTTGCTGAGCGATGGTGGTGGCTACAACTCCATCGGCTATAAGCCCTATCCGCAGTTTAAGAAGTCCGCCTCGACTGGAACGTTTCTCAATGTGCCTCGCCTGCCGCAGCAGCAGCAGCAGCAGGGTTACCTGCAACAAGAGCAGCCGCAAATGCAGCAGTCGCTTCCTCTGGGTCTGACCACCCAGCAACTTCTACAGCTGACACGCCAACAACAGGCAGTCAACACTCAGCAACAGCAACAGCAGCAGCACCCGACGACAGTGGCCAGTTTGCTGCAGCAGCACCAACAGCAGCAGCAACAGCAGCAGCAGCAGGCCGCTGTCAGCACATCCACTTGGGTGTCACCCAACACCGTTTTGCCCAAAGAAATCCATCGGTCCAATAGCTTGCCTCTGAACGTGTCTCTCAACAAGTTGCCCGATGGAAGGCAGCAGCTCATCCACGAGCAGCCCTTTGCCGTGCCCAAGTACCATGCTAAGGGCAAGTCACGCGTTCGCAGCAACTCGATGCACCAGCAACACTCGTCGGTGGTGGCAGCCGCCGGGGCAGGCGGCTCTCCCTTGAGCGCTCAGAGCTGCAGCAACCTGCTGGTCACGCAGCAGCAGATGCAGCAGGCCACCAGCGATCCCATGCTGAACAGCACCCTGGCCCAGCTCCTGACTTCGAGTGAGTGGAGCTTGAAAGCCTAAGAGTTCGCTGGTTAAAGTATATTTTTGTTACAGATTCCCGTCTGCAGACAGCCGTGGCAAACAGTTCTCAGTCGAATCAGCCATCTTCCGCCAGTGCCATAGTCACCTCGAGCAACAGCAACGTGTATGCTGCAGTCACATCGCCGCTATCGGTGCCCACGCAGCCACACTCACCAAAGAAGTCCGCGTCATTGCCCATGGCCATCATCAGTCCTGCTTTACACAGTCCCCCCGGACACGGTTTTGGGCCATCCTCCACGACAGGCAACATTGGCAGCAGCAGCTGCCTGAGTCTATCGCCGGACTCGCCGTTCCACGAGTCGCAGGACTCGCCGCTCTCGCCCTCGGCCAGCCTCAACAAGTATCAGCCGAGGGATACCCAGCGGCGAGCCGGTCACATCCATGCCGAGCAGAAGCGACGCTATAACATCAAGAATGGTTTTGACACGCTGCACGCGCTCATCCCGCAGCTGCAGCAAAACCCCAACGCCAAGCTGAGCAAGGCGGCCATGCTGCAGAAGGGAGCGGACCACATAAAGCAGCTGCGACAGGAGCGCAATGTGCTCAAGGACAAGATTGAGTCGCTGCGCATGGAGCGGGACGAGCTGAACAACTCGCTGACGTAGGCTATATATCCTTGATTCTTGTAGGTTTCTTTATTCTAAATGAATCTCTACTCTTACCAAAAGGCACCTGCACTCCATTCTGCCGGCAAATGGAGCCCCAGTCACGAGGCAGGGCACGGAGCACGTTCGCCAGCTATACGAGATCTTTGTGCGTTACAATACCATGAACGACTGGAAGTTTTGGATTGTAAGTGCTAAATATAAATATTATATATCAATTTGGTAAATATCACAAAATATTCTTAACATTTCAGTTGGGTTTAATTTTGGAACCACTGCTTGCCTCGTACACGTCGACCGTGTCAAGTGCCAGTCTGGATGAGCTGCGTCGGACGGCCTTCCTTTGGGTAGATCAGCACTGTTCTCTCATCGATCTACGACCCGGTAAGTGGCTCAAGTTTTCTTCAGCCATAGAAATCCTCAATCTAATTAAACCCCATTCATTGCAGCTGTTACGAATAAATTAAAGTACCTATCCATGCACACGGATATTGTGTCAGAGCCGCCTAGCACCTTGCAGGAGGAGGTGGCCAAGGCCCTGCAGAACTCAAGTGGCCAGCATCCTAACCTGCATAGCTCCTAACCGTTGATGATGCTGATGCTGCCCGTGATATGAATTTATTTAATTCAATCTATATATATATATATATTTTAAAATATATCCACATGAATTTGTTTTCGGCTTATGAATTGTACAAATCGCTAAGCAAGGCGGATTTTTATACAAGAGAAATGGATGGCAGCCGGCAATAGAGCAGCAAATAGTGCCTACAATCTTTGATTTAAGCGTAAAATAAAAGCAAACGATTTTACAAGTTTTTTGACCATAAGATGTGAATATTCTTTCAAGAGTTTCTTTGATTATTTTCTTAAATTTTATTGATGGAAAACTTTTTGAAGAGACCAAGAATAAAGACCACCTTTATGCCCGTGTGCTTGGTATGCATTATCTCATAGCTGATAGCTGATAGAGATACCCTATCAATGCACTTGCCATAAAGCGTAGTCCCTGGAGAAAACAGTGGTAGTTTTTGACATCACCCTGCTGGAAATAGTCATGATCATCATTATATTCCTGATTATTGCCGCTTGTGTTGCCTTGGCTGTTGTTGCTGCGACTGCTGTGACCGCTGCTTGTGGGCTCCTTGTGCTTCTTCCCTTCCTGATCTGTGGCGGCTGGCTGGTGGTCTGGGTCTTGATGTGGTTCTGGCAACGTTATGCTGTCTGGTGTTGGCTTTTCGGCACGAGATGCGCCGAGGAACATATATTGTCCACAAACTTTGACCTTAGCCAAGAGTAACTGAATAAAGATAGATTTGTCAGAATATTTGTACGTTTTATTGTTAAGTTTTAAAAACAAGAGAGGAAGCTAACTTCGGCACGCCGAAGTTTGTATACCCTTACAATTAGAAAATATTGTTGTTTTTACAGTTTGACAGTTTGAAATAAACATTGCAATTATTTTAAATCTCCCCAAAAGTATGTTAAATACCTTTTCCTTGGACCTGGTTCATATGGGAAGACTTGTAAGTGAACCAATTTTCGCGATACTTACAAGAGAGTGACGACACAGAGCATTCTCGTTTTTACTCACTTGCACTTGCATTTGGAAAGATTGTGTCGGGCAGATAGGCATTCCTTATCAATTGAGCCTCAGGGCATTGAGACCCGGAAAACCGACTGCAGTTTCGGTCTGACTCTCCTCGCGGCATTGTCATGATTATCATCGTATTTCTGATTATTTTTGCGGCTGCTGCCGCCTTTGGATTGGTATTCCTCCTTCCATTGCTACTCAGCGGTGCTTGGATAGTTGCCCTGCTCATCGCTTGGCTTTGGCAACGCCACCACTTCAGCCACTGGCGACGCTTGGCTGTTCCCTACATTCCGGCCACGCCCTTTGTGGGCAATGTGTGGCCACTATTGCGCGGCGACTGTTGTTTTGGCGATCAGTTTCGGGAGCTTTACGAAAGCCAAGAGGCTGCCGACCACGCCTATGTGGGAATTCACGTTCTGCACAACCATGCGGTGCTACTAAGGGATCCCGCGCTGATCAAGCGCATCATGGTCGAGGACTTTGCTCAGTTCTCCAGCCGGTTTGAGACCACAGACCCCGTGTGCGACACCATGGGCTCCCAGAATCTGTTCTTTTCCAAACACGAGACCTGGCGGGAGACGCACAAGATCTTTGCCCCATTCTTTGCGGTGGGTAAGGTACGTCAGATGTATGGACTACTGGAACACATTGGCCTCCAGCTCGAGGAGCACATGGAGCTGCAACTGGCGGGCAGAGACAGCATGGAGCTTGAGGTTAAGCAGCTGTGTGCCCTCTTCACCACGGATATCATTGCCTCGCTGGCGTTTGGCCTGGAGGCGCATAGCTTGCAAAATCCGGAGGCTGAGTTCCGACGCATGTGCGTTGAGGTCAATGATCCGCGCCCAAAGCGCCTCCTGCATCTCTTTACAATGTTCTTTTTCCCGCGACTATCTGGAAGAGTACGCACGCATCTCTACTCCGACGAGTACGAACGCTTCATGCGCAAGTCCATGGACTTTGTTCTGGCCCAGCGCGAGGCTAGCGGCGAAAAGCGCCACGATTTGATCGATATATTCCTGCAGTTGAAGCGTACGGAGCCACCGAATAGTAAAATCCATCGTCCGGATTTCTTTGTGGCCCAGGCAGCATTCCTCCTGTTGGCTGGCTTCGATACCTCCTCGTCCACCATAACCTTTGCCCTGTACGAGCTAGCTAAAAGCCCTGCCATACAGCGTCGACTGAGGGAGGAACTTCGTGAGGCTTTGGAGTCGAGCAGGAATCAGGGTCAGCAGCTGAACTGTGACAATGTCAATGGCTTTGTTTACCTGCGGCAGGTGGTTGACGAGGTCCTGAGACTATATCCACCCACAGCATTCCTAGATCGCTGCTGCAATTCTGCCGAAGGCTATGATCTCTCGTCGTGGAACTCGGGCTCCAAAATGAAAATGCAGGCAGGCACGCCAGTCTACATATCGGTATTGGGACTCCATCGGGATAAGCAGGTTGGACTAACTCCTACGGATTAGGTTCTTTATCTTTTACTTAGCTAAGTATATATTTCAGTACTGGCCAAACCCTGATCGCTTTGATCCCGAACGCTTTGCAGCCGAGCAACGAAAACAACATCATCCCATGACATATCTGCCATTTGGCGCTGGCCCAAGGGGCTGCATTGGAACTCTGTTGGGTCAGTTGGAGATCAAGGTGGGTCTCCTGCACATCCTGAAGAACTTTCGCGTGGAAATCTGCGATAGAACTCTGCCCCAAATGAGATTCGATCCCAAGGCCTTTGTCCTGACAGCTCATGGAGGTACTTACCTTCGATTTGTAAGGGATTCTCTGTGAAAGGTTAATTCGGTGAAAAACGGCCCACTTTTCAACAAAATGTTGTGGCGAAAAGGCGAAAGTTAGCTTAATGAAATTAAATACCATTTAATAACACATTTGAACATTGTTTTTTTTTAATTTTCGTATTAAAATATATTTAGAGGTCTAGGAATAATGGGGAGTATTCAAAGTGTCCTCCAAATAAAGTTGGTTCTGGGTGTACATCCTAACTGTCCACAATATCATTCGATATTAAACAAGAAAGAAAACTAACTTTGGCCAGCCAAAGTTTGTATACCCTTGCAGGTAACAATTAAAATATATCATAACTAAGCCAAAAATGCATTAATTTCGATTCGGAAAGCAGTTTTGTGTTAGTTTTTATTAATTTAAAAAAACTGCATACCAAATTTAAAATTTTAAGAAATCAAAATTTTTGGCCATTTTTGCTAATTTTAATGATGTAACCCCTTATCAAATTTCGCAAAAATGGCCAAAAAATCGATTTCTTCCGGGCATGTCTAGAAAGATTCGCATGTTAATGCTGATCAAGAATATATATGGTTTATGGGGTCGGAAATGATTCCTTGACTTAAAAAAAATATTATTTTGTATTATAAAATCGGATTTTTTATATTAAAAAACTTCTTGATTTTTTTAAAATTAAAAATATCATAACTCGGCCAATAGAGCATTAATTTTAAATCGGAAAACAGTTCTGTACAAGATTTTCTACAGTTAATAAATCTGCATACTTCATTTAAAAATTTTGAAAATTCAATTTTTTATCAAAATCAAACATTTTAATGATGTAACCCCTTATAAAATTTTGCAAAAATGGCCAAAAAATCAATTTCTTCCTGACATATCTAGAAAGATTCCCCTGTTGATGCTGATCAAGAATATATATACTTTATAGGGTCGGAAACGTCTCCTTCACTGCGTTGCAAACTTCTGACTGAAGTTTGAAGTTAAAACCCCGATTTTTGACTAAAAAATAAAGTTAGTTTTTTAAATAAAATTTAAATTTAACAAATGTTTTATATGATCGATGTAAAACTTTTACAAAATATTCTTTAGATATTGGACTTTCATAATAAAAATTAAATATCATCCTCCCCTTAAATTAAGGGGGTCTTCTCATTCAAAAGCCGTTTTTTGGACCCTTTTTAAAAAAATTCTTATTTGAAAACGCAAAGAATAATTGATAACTTTTTTTATTTATTGTATTCAAAAATGTTCAAAGTAACTAAAAAAAGTTGTTCTTGCCTCGATACGAGGGTTGTTCAAAGAGTAATGAGACTTTAAACTTGGTGGTCGAAAAAAAGGTGTCGTCCTGGCGGCCACGATTCAGGGTTTCCAGAGCGTCCGAAATGAAAAATAAAAACGGGGTTATAATCAGAATAGATGTCATTTTCGGCTGACGGAACAGATTTTTTTTTTAAATTTTTAAAACAAAATGGCGGCCATTCAAAAAAAAATTTCGATTTCGGGCTTTTTTTTTGTAGTTTAGTGTAAAAAAAAATAGAAAAAAAAATTTAAAAAAAAATCTGTTCCGTCAGCCGAAAATGGTGACAATTCTGCGTCGATTCCACTTTGTTTCATGAAAATCGGTTCAGTTGAACTGGAGATATCATGGCCGCCAGTTCGAAAAACGTGGTTTCGAGATAAACGCGTTTGAAGTTTGAAAAAAGCTCATTTTGCATAGATCTTGCTTCACAAAAAAGGCTGTATCTTCTAAAGTATTTCGAATTTCTAAAAATCCTTTTGGGGACATATACACACCATCCCAAGCTATAAATAAATGCAAAAAAAAAAAAATCGAAAAAAAAAAGTTGCCCAATGAGAAGACCCCCTTAAATAACCATAGTCGTCTAGTTTTAACTGTATTCATTTTTGTTTATTGGTAATTTGCATTTTTCACATATTTTTTGTTTGTTTTTTTCTGTATTTTGTAATTAAAACTTTTCTCAAGTTCAGCTCAAAAAATGTTCACAAAAGTTTTGTCGGCCGAGTCGGCCAACTGTTGTTGATTTATAGTATAGAGTTTAGTAAAGGGTTTAGAGATTTTAACAAGGTGTAAATATTCAATCAATTCTTGTCACGACTACAAAACGAAGAGTTCGTGTGGCTCCTGGGGGTTATCGTTTTCAGTTGAAGCTCCAACAACATTTGGCCAACTCGGAATATTCGACAATCATCAACCATATGGATTTCGTATTTATTTTGTTTGTTTTTCCTTCTCTTTTGCATGTACAGTTTTAAAAAACTAACCTGGAGTTTCTCGGTACTCCGTCGCTCTTTTTACAAATTATCAAAAAATAACTAAAGCAATATTACACAGACATTATCAACGTAAACTATAGCTAATAACTAATTGCATTTCTTTTGTTTTTTTCACACTCCCAACAACAGATTTCTTGATTTTTCAGTGCTGGTTTGGTATGCATTCTATATCATACAAAATAATAAACTCAGATTTCTTATTTTCTCCTTAATTTTTTTTTTTTGTTTTGTTTTTACATACATCAAACGTTGAAACTTATAGTGATTTGCATTATTGATTTACGAAAGTTTTTAAAAGGCTAACTACGAGCTAAGAATACAAGTTAGCAATGTACAACAATGGATGAGGCAAAAGTAAAGTGAAAGCAAAGGCCTTGTAATAAAAAGATGGGTAACGGCATAGGATTTTAGAGCCACCCGTTATGCATCTTGTTATTATAAGGTCTTTGATGAAAGCATGTTGTCATCAAAATTAAAATGCCTTTTTCGGTATGAATTTCGGTAAATGAGAAACTTGCTCAGCTCTCCACGATTTCGACTGATATTTCGATGATTATTACGACTTGGGCCTATGATATCGAAGCATTTGTGTATTTTGTGTGTATGGCATGTAACTGTTCTGGTTGCAATTTGTTTTGATTATTTTTTGTTGTTGTTGAATATATGAAAGCGAAAATCAAATGGCTCGCAATTGTAAATTTTATAAGATTTCTCCTCTACTTTTTTGCGATTAAATTTTGCATGCACTTAGTTAATTTCTTATTTGGTTTTTTCTTCTAATTCCACGAGCACAAAACACTGGCCGAAATGAAGCCTCCAATCGGAGGGCGACTGCTGTCTGTTAACATATCTATGTGACATACAAATGTTTATGCATATTGGTATATATAAGCATATATAGCTAGTTAATTACATTCATAGTAGTGTAGTTTTCGACATGACATACATTTATATATATATGTATATATACTCATATATAGCGCTTCCGCATTTTTCTCACTTTTGTTGTTAGCAAATAAATGGATTTTTGCATAAATCTAAACTATTTCCGATTTCTGCTCGCTCAGAGTTAGTCTTCTAATACATTTTACAAAACACAGTTTTTGGGGACGCTACTATCTTCTGTCCTGCATGACCACCTGCTTCAGGGCCCCCGCTCTCACGCTGGACTTGACCTCGTGTCCGCCCAACGAGGCGGTGCCGTCCCTTGCGATATATAGCTGAAGGCCAGAGGCTGCAACGAACAGAATAACAGATAAGTATACGTTTACTACTCTCGGTTTCTACTTTACTCACTTTCTGCCGACTCCTCCAGCTGATCCAGCTTGGTATCCTTTAGAATCTCATCGATTAACGAATTTGGATTGACCCGCGTCTCCTCCACTCGATCGGAAACGCGGGGCCCATCATCCAGTGCGCCCTTTTTGCGCTTCTCGCCACTGCTTTTCGTGCGATCTAGAGATCCTGTTTCACTTATAACTAACGAGCCGGAACTGGGATTCCTGTTGTGGAAAGGGGAAACGAAAATAAGTTAGTCAGAGATCTTTTAAAGTATTCTTAATATTCTTAATTGCTCAACTAAAACTATACAAGTGCTCGGAATGAATACAACAATCTGGCGCGGGCGGCGTAAAACAAAACAACGGAAAGGCAGGCAACAACGAGGCAGAACAATGCAAACTTCAGTGCCTTAAAATACGAAAATGGAGTGGAATATGAAAGTGCTGCTGATGTACGACGAGTATGAAGGTTGACACAAATAAAGAATATAAATTTAAAGAAAAACTTTTGCATAATATGCAATTTGTATGAAATAAATCTTTCCAATTAATTATTTTCTTGGGTTATTAAAATAAACAATCGAATAAATCATATATATTTTTCACTTTTACACAGTTAAAGCAACAAAATAACAAGATGCATAACGGTCATTAAATTGAACTTCATTATGCCAGAAATTGTTGAGTTAAGATATACATTTTATGGCGTTACTCAACTTGTTATTATAAGAAATACTTATGGATAAATCAAGCCGTCAAGTCATACATTTTTAATTTATAAATTATAAGAAATTAAAATTTTAATTATTATAATTATAATTTGGATAAATAAAACAAACAATGTCATAAATCATAATATTTGTCACTTTTACACAGTTAAAGCAAGAAAATAACAAGATGCATAACGGCAATATGCATAGAATTTTTTATTTAAAAAACTAGTTTGGCGTTACTTTTCTTGTTATTATAAGAAATACTTATGAATAAATAATAAATCATTTTAAAATTATAATAAATTAAAATTGAAGACTACCAAACTTATAATAAGGGATAACCCAGCTCATCCTCCTTCCTAAATTAAATGCATGATCAAAGTGAACTAGTTTCTGGACAAACTAAGGTCATCATTCGGCATCACATCAACTTAAAAGCAAGTACAGTACGCAGGTGAAAGGGTAAAAAATAGTAGAGCCAAAATGGGGCAATCTTGAAGTCAACCCACATCATGGTGACGCTGGGGCGGCGTATTATCTGGGTTGTGGCTAGCGGCGAAAGTGTGGCTCCCGTCACAGCCATCGCAGACGCCTCGGCGGCTGCTGCCGAGGTGGAAAGTAGTAGCGAGGCAGCTGATGGATTCGAACGAATGCTACAGGCATCCGTGGGACTGGCGGCCAGCGAGCTAAGGGCATCGCCGGAGGCAACGTTGCCCATCCGGGGACTGCTGCCATGCTGCTGGTGGTGGTGGCCATTGGGCGAGCCAACTGTCATCTGCTGGTTGGTGGTGGGGGCATCCACTGTGTCCTGAGCACTCATGGCGGCGTTGCACTGGAAGGTGATGACTGCTCCGCTGCTGCTGCTGTTGCTGCCATTCGAGGAGGAGGCCGAATGGTTCGAATGGATGCTGGCCAGGGTCCCGCAGGGCGAACAATTGGCATTAGATGAACCCAAAGCGTAGCCAGAGGTTGGTTGCTGCCTGTTGCCGCCGCCGCCGCTATTACTGCTGCTGACAGCTCCCATGTTGCCGCTGTTCTGGCCATTAGTGCTGTTGCTTCCATTGCTACCGTCAAAGAGGCGACGGGGAACTCCACTGAAGCTTCTGCATGGACGCGTCGTTGAAGGCGATTATTTTGATTTTAGACACGGAACAACACAACAATATTAAACACAAACACGACTCTTGCAAAGTATGCAGAAAAACAACGGAATTGAATGTAAAAATAATAAAATAAAAATAATAAACAACCAAATATGTTGGTTATTTTTTAGACATTTTCTATACTTTTTAAAAGAAGCATTTGATTTTGACTTATGCATTTTATATAGTATGGATAAGAGGAGGTATATTCTTAAAATGTGTGTGTTTCTGTAATGTGTTTTGTGAATGTGTAATAAATAATAAGCACAATTTCTTAAGACATACACATATTTAATAAACAATCCACAAAGCAATAAATTCTATATTTGTAAAATTTAGAGAAAGCTCAAAAAATATATTCTCCCAATAATAAAACGTAATAATTTTTTGCATTAAATCCACTTTAGCAAATAAAATAAGCTCAACTTGTATGATTTCTTTTCTGACATTTACAGTTGACCCCATCAGCCCCATCCATTACGACACTATCCCACACTCGTTGCACCATCTAAACAGACCGACACGCGCCTGGAACATGGACACATTGATATAACCCTGACCTGTCCATGAATATTCCGCCGTACAGATTCACTCACAGTCCGACAGAGATGCCAAGCTGTCGGTCGGTCTATCATTTAATGTGAAGCTCTGTGTCATTCTGCCAGAAATGTTTGTTCTGCATGAGGTTCCCCTCGAAATTGAATTTGAAATTGGAAACATTTCGGGACGCACACAATTTATAAAAAATGTACAGAGAGTAGCAGCAGAGTACAGAGTACAACCCAAGCCCAAGCTCAGAGACGCTTGTCCAAGCTCAGGGATTTATCCTTGTCCCAGATACATTCAGACTTGTTGGACCCCAAGGGCACGTCCGTGTTTTTGTATTGTGCTGTCTGTCCATCTTGTGGCTGGGCTGTCGCAGGTGAGAGTAACTAGTTTACACACCATTTACTCGTAATTGCTTTATGGATAATAGCAGGTTCGTAGGACCTGTCAAAGAGCAGTAAACGCAGACTCATCTAATTGTCCTTTGAACGTTTATAATTAAGCAATTATAGAAAGTATCTTTTTTGTGATATTAATAAAATCAGTAGCTCAATTTGTAGTTATAAGATTTAAAATTTGAAATAAATGATGAGCTAAACTTTTTATACTTTTATACCTATAAAATTATAGACACCACAGTTATTTTTACCCCATCTGTTACAGGTTAATCGGTTTGTGTTGATTAGATAATTAATAGAGTTGCTTGTATTGATTAGGATTGGGTTGTAAGTGGCAGTGGTATAACATTACACCCATAAATATTATACAATCTTTTTACAACTCTGCAGACAAATATAGCTTACGTCTATCTTAAGAAGTACTCAAACCCAAGGTAAGTACTCGCTTAAACCCACAAATGATTAGTAGAAACTGTAACAAAACAAAAAGGGAACGTAACGAAAGGTACAAACGAACGAGTAACGAAAAACAGGTGACAGAATATGTTAAATGGAAACGAAAACAGCTGTGTATGTGTGGGGCAGTGGACCAATACCAAGGACCAGGACTATGTCTAGGCGGCTTAGGCTAAACATTTAGGAACACAGTCTAGAAGATGACTAACGAGTAACGAGTAAAAAGTGACGAGCAACCTTCGGCTCGATAGATTGGAATATGCAACTAGTTAATGGAATACTTGGTTCTTTCTTGCTTGACTTGATTGTTAATCAAAGCATTCTAGAAGATGACTAACAAGTAACGAGTAACTATAAACTTTGAACGAGTGACGATTTATCTTCGGCTCGATAGATTTGAATATGCAACTAGTTAATGGAATACTTGGCTCTTTCTTGCTTGACTTGATTGTTAATCAAAGCGCGACGCACCTCATTAGCTCGTAGGCAGCATTCGTGGAATGTGGCCGCGCCGCAAAGGCCTCCTGGTTGGCCAGGGGTGTCGAGGAGCTGCCCTGCAGGATGTTGCGCCGATAGGCTCGCTCGAAGGGTGTGCGCGACATGAAGGGCATTGAGCTGGCAAACGATTCTGCCGGCGAGTCCACCACATCGTAGGTAAGCAGACGGTTCACATAGCTACTGCCCAGAGCCGGCTTCTCCGCCGACTGGATGAGGCGCGGGAAATTCGGTTTTCGTTCGGTGGTCGGCGTGAGGAATGGGTCCGCCTCGATGCGCTCACTAACAATGTCGGGTATGGTGCCCATAGACCGCATCTTCTGGATGGGATACTGCGCCGACTGTGGACTGTCGTTACCGCCATCCTGACCGATGAACTTGGCGTTGCCCACCTTAGTGTGGTGATGGCTCTGATGGCTAAAGTGCTTCACGAACAGCTTTCCCGCCGATCCGTTCGAGGCGGTGGAGTTCTTGCGCAGATGATGGTGCTGCTGGAAGCGCAGACGCTCCTCCAACGACTGTTCGTGCATGCGCTGGAACTCCTCGCGCACCGCCTGCTCCGCATACTCGTCGAAGACGAGATTATTCAGCGACTTCATCTTGGGTATCTGGGCACGCTCCGCCAGCTGTTTGAGTCGCCGCGGCGAGTTGCGATCCAGCTCCATGGAGGCCTTGTGGAACTCCATCTCCAGAATGGATAGATTCTCCATTGACTTGATCTTGGCCACGCGCGGCGTATGGTAGTTTTCCTCCAAGCCGGAGTCATTGTCACCCGAGTCCTCGTTGAGGTACTCGTCCGTGTCGCTTGCCTCGCCGCTGTCATAATACTGTGTGGCATGGGACGGAGATCCCGCACTGCGGTAGGTGGAGCAGGGTGTTCCCCCACCCAGGGGATGGAACTGGGGAGGACCAATCTCGGCCATGGGGGTGCGGAAGTCCTCAAAGGTCAATGTCTCCTGACCTGTGCTGTTCATGGTGGCGTTCGGAGTCTGATAGAGCTGCTCCTCGCTGGCGTACTCAATTGTGGTGCTGAGGGTGAGATGGGTGGTGGTGGTGGTCTGGACATGATGGTTCTTGGGGACCACTGGCAGGACAGGATCCGGAGAAGCCTTCTGACCGCAATGACGACCGTGAGGAATACTCAATTTCATGGCATTTATTGCTCTCTGATTAAGTCTATTGAGAAGAGAAACGGATTTTCTAAAACGACTATAGTTTGTTGTTTGTTTTTGATTTGGGCGACAGTCGTAGATTGATTTTTTCGTAATATATATTTTTTTTGTTATTAGAGAAAGATTTTGTTGGGCGGTTGGTTAGTTGGCCATTTACCCCATTTTGTTATATTTACAAAAACATATAAGTTTAGTTAAAAAAAAAAGAAAGAGAAACAAAAAGGGGGTTAAAATAATTTAGCAAGAAATTAGGTAAAAGTAAGTATATAAAAGCTTTAAGGGTTAATCTAACATAAATTATAAGGGCTACCATAAGACCATATATTAGAGAACCAATAAAAAAAACACCAGGGTATTAATCCTTAACCAGAAGTTAAATTTATAGCCATACAAAAATATATTAAACATTCTGAATTTAATAACCTTAACCATTAGTTCATGAGAGATGAAACTCAAAGGCTATACACTAAATCTAATAAAAAAAAATGTATATAACATATGTATATAACCTTCTACTTGAGCTAAAAAACTTTCTTTCAATCAGGCAAAGGGCAAAAGCCACAAGGAAAACCCCAGGACAAGCGACCTTTGTGAACGCCTCATGACGCCAGTCAGTTGATGAAGTCATCAGATTCATATTTCAGCACAAAACCATTTCCCTGGCTCAACGATTTTCATTTGCTGTCTCCCCCCCGCTAATCGCAGTGCATGTTTTTTTTTATTTTGAACTGCAGCCAACATGCAAGTAAACCACCAGCCACCACCTAGGAGCCAGCCGGTCTGGTCATGAAAACAACAAAGATATAAAGCTCTTCGTCTGACCTTAAACTTTGCAATGGGAAATTTGTTGCATGCCGTCGTCTGCAGCATCCGCACAGCCCTGCACAATTGCGGGCAGAGTACTAACGAAAATTTGCATAACATAATTGAACGGAACGCTGAGGGGGGACCGTGTTCTGGAAGTGATTGTGTCTGGTTAGATGGCCCTGAGTTCATAATGGAAGTGCCACAGCTAGGATATTGCAGAGGTGGCGCCTGGCAGTACATTTTAAAGACAGAAAACCAGCGGAAATATGTAATAGTTGGCACTACAAATTGATAAATAAAATCGATTTAATCTTGGACAACATAAATATGCAGTTATGTTTCCCTCTGCATTATGTTCATAGCTCGTCGCGAATAATTTAAGCATAAAGCATTCAGAAATACATATTTAGCTAAAATACTTAAACTATCTTAAAATAAAAAAAATCAATAAATATAAAACAAAAGATACATTTTTATACCCTTGCAGGGTATTATAATTTCAGTCAGAAGTTTGCAACGCAGTGAAGGAGACCTTTCCGACCCTATAAAGTATATATATTCTTGATCAGCATCAACAGCCGAGTCGATCTAGCCATGTCCGTCTGTCCGTCCGTCTGTCCGTCTGTCCGTCCGTCTGTCCGTTTCTACGCAAACTAGTCCCTCAGTTTTAAAGCTATCTGAATGAAACTTTGCATATAGTCTTCTATATACTCTCACTGTTATATATGTCGGAACGGGCCGGATCGGACGACTATATCATATAGCTGCCATACAAATGTTCGATAAATTTTTAGAAAAAAAATTGTAACTTGGCTGTTTTTCAATATTATTCCATCATTTTTGAGATATAGCTTTTTTATATTATTCCAGAATTTTTGTAAAAATTTTATGAAAATCGGACCACTATATCTTATAGCTGCCATAGGAACGATCGGGAAATTAATGAAAAAATTATAACTTCGTTGTTTTTCAACGTATTTTAATCTACTTTGACACATGAGCTTCTGGTATTATTATAAAATTTTGGTATAAATTTTATGAAAATCGGACGACTATATCTTATAGCTGCCATAGGAACGATAGGGAAAGTAATAGAAAAAATTAAAACTTCGTTGTTTTTCAACGTATTTTCATCTACTCTGAGATATGAGCTTTGCTTATTATTATAGAATTTTGGTATACATTTTATGAAAGTCGGACAACTATATCATATAGCAGCCATAGAAGCGATCCGTAGATGTAGAGAAAATGTAAAGGTGGGAATGTATAACTGTAACTGTCAAACTGTAAACATAATAAGTATAGGTAAAATGGTATGTAACTCAGTTTAGAGTCTGTTTTCGGCATTATAATTTATAATATAAATATGAAAACCAATCTGCAAGGGTATACCAACTTCGGCGTGCCGAAGTTAGCTTCCTTTCTTGTTAGTTTTTAAGAAAAAATCTATGTACTGAAAATCGATTTACTTTCAGCTCTCATAGAGAGATATCGCGCTCGATATTATATCGAAAATATCGTAAGAATTGATAAATCGAAATTAAATTGCATTTAACGCTACAATACCGTTAAAATTGTATTTTTTCATTGTCTTAATATTAAAACGAAAAGATAAGAAAAATTTAAATGTACCAAATGTAAAAAATATAATTTATCAAATAGAATATCGATTTATCGCTGCTTTAAAATATCGATACAGTAACGATTTTTTATAAGGAATTAAAAAATTCGACTACCACATTAAAAATAAATATAAAGGCTACGCTCGACTGTATTTAAATTTAAACTAAAATTAAATAAAGATGCTAGTTCTACTAACTAACTAACTAAAGACTTGTGGTGTATGGTAATTGTATCAGTGTTCGATTGTTATTGTTATCGAATATTTTGTATTGTCATGATACGAGCAATGGTTGCATTAGTTGCATATTTGGCCAAGTCCAAACACAGACTTGTCGTGTGTGAAAAGTATTAATTTTTCTTTTGTGTAAAAGAGTGTATTAGGTACAATTTAAGTAGATTTGTAAGTACATATATAGCGCATTTAAGGGGATTAGAGCTTCGTAGCTTAATATCAAATGTTATTGAGATAAGATTACGCTTACACGAATCGTAGGCAAAAAATATAACAAAATTAATTATACAAGAAAGTAGGTCGAGGCTTTTTACAGAATAGCATTTATCAATAAAAAGAGTTATTCTTCACTCACCTAGCATGTCCCGAATCGCCCTCGGAACTCTGCCTTGAATGCTGACTGTGCGAAAAACTACTATAACCCGAACCTTTTGACATCTGCAAGGGGAGGAGGAGGTATTTATAGTATGACTTGGCTCTTCGGATCGTTTCTTAAACTCACTTGACTAGTATTACTGGAATTCCTGGAATGACCCATCTCCATCAGTGTGGCGTTGCCGCCTCCAGAGAACCCAATGCCCACACCTGTTGTCCCGTAGTTGTTGCTGCCGATTGTCCCCAGGCCAGGAATTGCCTGTGTCACCGGCGTAGTGGCGGTGGCATTTGAAGCAGCAGCGGCGGCATGTTGCTGCAGATTGTCCGTGGTCAACGTCACCGCCGATTCCGAGGACTCTGACAGCCCGGAATCCGTCACAATGGCCGCTAGCAGCGCCTGTGCGTCGAACTCTGCAAAGATCACTGAGGTTAGTTTGATGATCGGTTGGTCTTTCATTGGTTTAACCCCGAATCTCTGTACATCTTGGTCTTGGAACTTTGTGTCTTGATTAGTACTCACCCTCTTCTTTTGTGGTGGACACGGGCCTTGTTCCCGGCAGCGACTGATTGCTGGGTACTCCACCCAATGTGGCTCCACTGCCGCCCAAGGGAATGGCCGAACCGCCACTGCCGCTGCCTATGCTGGGCAAAGCCGTGGCTGTCGGTGTCTGCAAACCCACTCCGGTGGCTGCGTTGGCCAAATCATCCATTGAGGGTTTGCTCTGCTTGCTCTTTAGGCTGGGCGTGGGTCTACAGAAAAAAAAGGTTAATACAAGTTCACCAGAGTTTATATCTCCTGTACTTACGCCTTGAAGAGAATATCGCCGCTCAGCATGTGCATCTTGATGCTCACCCGCAGCATCGAGTTGTCCAGGCGATGACGGGAGTCGTAGCCCTCAAGGAGAAAGCGACGCGAGGTAAGCCCGGCACCGGCAAACTCGGCAAGATTGAGGTCAATAAAACCCAGCTTATAGTAACTGCGTCCGCCCTTCATCTCCTTGCGTATCGAGATGCGCAAGTGACAGGGATCAAGGACACCGGTCGAGGCATTCGCACTCATCTTGCAGGGGAACTCAAAGCTGCGGTTCCACTCCACGCGATGGTTACGCACATCCTCTCTTTAAATATATATACATTTTGTAAATATTTAAATAAGTATATAAAATGAGGCCACTTACCGACTACTGTACTCTTGAAAGGACCCGCCATCGAGCAGTCGTATCTTGGCAAACAAAACCTCATTTACCAGGGCCACCTCCACTAAATCCTGCAACTGCACTTCCACATTGAACTTGTACTTTTTCTTTTTCATCATAAAGGCCATGCCAGGGGCGCTAGGCCCGAGAAGTGTCATCAATTCCTCTCCAACAATGCGTGATCGTTAGCCGCCCTGCCACGGATTGTATAGAAAAAAAGAGCCTGCGGCGGTTGCAATGCACCGCCTCCAAGCCACAGATTTTGTTCTTTTCGGAGCTCTAAGCTGTATTGTTTTATGTTGTGTCCTTTCTTTAAAAGTTGTTGGTTGTTGCCGCTTTGCTGACACAGTTGTTTTGGACTGTTTCTTTTGCTGCTTACTTGACTGCCATTTTTTAGGGCTAACGGTGGGTTTATGGTACGGTGAAGGTGCTGCCTGCTAGGTTTGGTGGCATGCAAACCTTCCCAGCTGCAAGTAAAGTGAGGAAAAGGAAAATCAGGGTATTATTGACAATTGTTTGACTTGAAAATTGTGAAAATGTGTAAGCAGTGTCGAGCAAAAAAAAAATTGCTAAATTGATGACCGATTTTGAATTTGTAATTTTGTGGGTCTAATTTTCTGCTCTCTAAAAAATATAAGAATATGTACTAGTGGAAAGTCTTTTAGGAATGTTTAAAGAAATTTAGCTCCTGGCTTTCTTTTCAGATTTTTCCTAAAGCTATTAGTGTAGAAGCTGCTTATCTATTCAATACAAGCGTGTCGTCACTGAGTTTAAACTTGGGAAATTCTAGTAAACTTTTCATTATAACTTTGGAAACGCTTAAAAAATTAAAAGTAACAAAACAAAACAGGCATTTATAAAATGTATATATAATATTACAACTCAACTTTACTTCCTTACAAATTCCTTAAACCCAAAACAATTTAAATACATTTTTTGCCCGCCCACCCACTGTGCCATTAGCATAATAAATCAACTTTTCTATGATGATGGACACCTTAAGATACGCCGCTTGACAACATGGAAATACTTTTAAGGACGCTTAATAACAAGTCTCTAATGTCAGTCAATCATTTTTTCGCCCACCATCCTTAGTTTGCAAATAAAATGCATATCCTATAATTGAGCCAACAACACCACGTAAACAATTAAGAACAGCAAACACGCAATTGGGAATCGCATGACCAAAGCGCCGCCATTTCACCGCCAAGAGCTTGGCACTTGATGCAAATATTTACCATATAATTCCGAGCGATTTGGGACGCCTCTTCTTGAATTATACTGAATCAGTGACGCATTACCTGGCGTTGCCTATTGTTTGGCATTTTCCTTGGTTTTGGTCTGTGTATTATCTCAGGTCTGTGGCGTCTCGGGAGAACTGATTCGCATTTAGATTGATGACTAATTGGGTTTTTGAGATTCTGGGAACCGCTGACAATACACATATTTGAACTCAATTAATATATATTGAAGCAGGTTGGCCATTTTATTCGATTTCATTCAATTTGCTTGCTGTCGAAGTGCAAATTAAATGAGGTCACCGTTTTTCCATGCTGGCAAGCCGAAATTGTGCGCGTTCGAATAGCAACAATTCAGGAGAATCGAACCTTAATTTTCCTTTATAGATTTTCATAATAACCATAAGACATTTTCCATAAAGCAAACAAAACCCTGTTCCGCCAATTATGTCCATTACACACGCATTAGCCCTACCAATCGAGAGGACAAACATTGCGAAAACCAATCAGGGACCCAAAACCATTAACCCACTTACACCCCCCGGATGAAATGTTGGTTGGCAGAGTGTCGATTTAGGTGATTTCGTTTTGGTTTAGTTTTTCCCCCGTTTCGGGGGTTGGTTTTCGAGTCGCACCCCAAAAAACAATCCCCAGTGAACACAGCAAGTTTAAAGTAAAACTTACTTCTTGACCGAAAAGGGAGGCAACGACTTCCTAAAAGGGATTGCCCACTGGCATGTGAAATCACTGACCCACTAACTGACTAACTGACTTTGCTTTGCTTCCTCAGAGCTCGACACTCCTTTAGAAAACTTAAACATGCAACATTGTTAATAGTATCCTTTCCATTAGGGACAAGTGCACGCGGATGGCCAAGAGTAAATTAGACCTGACAAGCCCCGAATTGGCTTTTAATGAGAGTCTTGAATCTGTTGAAACTGGCAAACTGAAATTCAAGCTTGACACTTTGATTAGAGCTGCAATAGCCACTTTATTGCCGAATTGTTCTTCAATAAAACGTTATTAAAACCTTTGCTCAAATGGTCACGAAAACGGGGGAAAAATAAAAAAATTAACAGGCCGAAGCGAACGATTTTGATTATGTCACATTGACCTTTACCTTGCCTCATCATTGCCACATTTTTAGCGGGCAAGGTGTCTATTTATTAACAATGACGCAGCAGCAGCAGCGATCATCACACAAACATATCTTGCGACTGACACCGAGGGAAATTAGCAAATATTTCTTGCAAAATACATACACACAGCCCCTGCAAATGAGCAAATGCAAATTCTTAATTCAACTTGGGTGCGACTGACTGACTGTGCCTCAATTGGCCGCCGCGCAAAAGTTGGCAAAAACCAGAGTGCAGGCAAACAAACAACAATCCGAACAGCTGGCGCCACTCGATGACAGGCAGGCTGTAAACAAAGTATTTGCGGGTTGTGTTAGGTGTGCGAGTGTGTATGGGGGTGGTGGGCATATGAAATGGCGGAAGCGTTAAAATTCAGATTTTCAACAACACAGAAAAGTAGTATTTGGTCCAGTTAACATAGATAAAGGGCATAGAATGAGTGGCAAGAATATATAAATATTTTAAATATTTAATTAAATTAATTAAAGGGGTAAAATGTTCTAGAAAGACTTCTTTATATTTTTTGAACCCCAAAGAAGTCGAACTAATCCCTTAAAAAAATATAAATTCACTTAATCATAGCTTTTTTCTTTCAAACTAACAGTTCTTATGCATTTTCTACTGCAACATATGAGTATCTTTAACATTTTCCTCACAATTACAGGGCATTACATTGCACTTCTCTGTTTTCCCATTTCCCGCACTTTTTCACTGCCTTTTACCTATGACGTTCTTTTTCGCGTAGGCGTCGTTTGGAGGCCAAGTCCATAGGCAAATTCCCGCAATTAATTCCGTAAAAGCATAATGGGTTTCAGCGAGCTTCCCTGGCTCCAAATCGCTCTTCAGACAATGATTGTATCTGTTTCACTAATCAGCCTCGGCCAGATGCGACAAACTTGATAACGGCAATTTGAAAACGCCAAGCTAGCGACAGAAAAACCAAATTAGCTGGCTGTGACGGTGACAGTCCACACATGTGGTTGTGCGAGGGGTGTTTGAAGATTAACTCTTTCATACAAATATACAAGACTCTACAACAGAAAGTATGACTCTTTATCAACATTGGAGAATGGGGAATCATACAGAAAATATTATAAATATAAGGGAATACAACAATTAAAAACCTAATCTTTTTTTCAAACCAACCTCGCTTGAGTTGTATTTCCGCTGCCCGACCCAGTGATCACCCTGCTGCAGCTGTTGCACACATGTCGCAATGATTTTGCATGTTGCCCGCAGATCTTTCTCATCTCGACAGCCGATCTCTCAGATCCCTTCGAAATATTTGAGCCCTAATGATGTGTAAAACAAAATACAACCAGCGAGCAATCGTCAGAGTTCTCAGTTCAGATCGGTTGGGGGCAAAACATATGCCGGCAAATGCCAAAAAGCCAAAAGCCGCGAGGTCATCCGCCCGACCCGAGTGTCGGCTGAGTGAGTGACTGAGTGACTGGGCCCATAAAGATAAGCGCGGGGTGCCCCGGAACGGCCGATAAGTACATTCCATGCGTGGCCTAGGGTCTTCAATGCAGTGCAAACATTATTTCAAATTAGCCCATAAATTAACTGCCAAAGAATTTCAAAAAAAACAACAAAATAAAATGTAAACACAAAAATTGAAAACGAAATAGTGTGGCTAGGAAATGTTTACATAAAATGAAGATTTTCAAATTCCTTTTATAATATTGAATTTATTTGATATTAGGTTAGATTTTCAGTTAATTTTTTTTACCAGGAATGAAGATTCAGAATTATTTTTATAAATAAGTTATAGGCATTTTAGTGTTGACAAAGAGCAGTGATAGTTTCTTATAAAATCATCAAAATTTTAACAAGTTTTGTCTTAATTAAGACACCTACTTTTCATTTTTTAATAGTGAATAAATAGTCTAATTTATTGATATAAATTAAAACCAATTTAATGTTTTCCCTAAAGGAAATGTTAACCTCTTCAACTTTCAAGTTTGTAACTCTTTGTTATAACTGGCAGCACGTGTCTTGATTGAAGGGATGCTTGAGTGATTTCTTGTTTGGCTCGGGACAAAGCAAGTTCAACATAAAAAGAAGAAAGAGAAGCTCAGTGTGAGGAAGGGACTTGAGTCAGACAACCCAAGACATTGACCTTGGCTTTAAAGCAAAGTTGTGTTAATGGATAGTGCTTTAAAGTTTAAACTCAAGAGCAGACCCCAATGTCTTACAACTAGGAGCCCGGAACGGTTTACACTCGACTAGAAGAATCGGGTAGCAAATTTATAAATATATTATTTACATTTTCACAGGAAATTCATGTTAGAAGTTCTAAAATAAACCAAATTATGAAGCAGTTTGAAGGTTCGCTTAAACTTTGATAACTTTGCATGCCAAGCTAAATAACTTGTCCTTTTTCCTTGGGTTTAATCAATAAACCTATGGCCTTTGGGAAGTTACCCAAGTCATATCCACTTTCCAGGTTAGCCTCTAAGTAGGCAATGGTTTCTTAACGAGCACAGACTCTCAAGGTGTTTAAACTTCTTACCGCTGAAGGTCAACAGTAGTTGGGAGCAATCCTCAAAATCCAATTAAGACGGACACTGAGAGGAGAAAGTGCACTAACTTTTATTACGAGGATGTTTTGAAAGTTCCTCTGCCCACACATACGCCCCCATGCTCCATATCGTTATATAACTTGGCGACCATTAGGCGACGACGACTGACTCATTAGGGCTGTTCTGCAAGGCGATAAAACACCTACGCACCTCCACAACCACTTTTCTAAGCCTCCACCCACTCAGACCCCATAGCTTGTTGTCATTAAGCTTGCAAACTTAATTTACACAACTCAACTCCCTACTGCCGGGAACCTACAGCCCCTGTCTCTTGAGCGGATCGAGGATGTGCTGGTGAAGTGTTAATGAGGTTTCGCCTCCGGAGTGCCATTGCACCTGGCTGCGGGGAGTGGGTAATTGTGTCAGCTTACCCGCATTATCAGACCCCGAAAGTCGCCTGTAACGAGAGAGTGGATTGAGAGGACAAAGCGTGGCGTTAGTGTCGTCATTAAAAAATCCTTCCAAGGATTGTGAAAAGCGGGTGCCTGCATCGCTGTTAAACTAGTGC